ATCCGTCCTCAGAGGTTCCAGTCTCCAGTGTTCTCGCGCCCGCGCGCCGCCCCCCCCCCCCCCCCCCGCACGGTGGCCGTGGCCCTTTAAGGGGGCGGCGAAGCCCCGCCCCTCCGCCCGAGCTCTCAGCCGCGGCCCGTCCGGACGCGCGCCCCGCCCTCCCCAGCTGTGCAGCCTTCAGCCCAGCTGAGCGCGCACGTCGGGAGCCCCAGCCATGTCCGCGGAGAGAGAGGCAGCCGAGGTGGCCACCGTGGAGGCGGCGGCCGAGGCCGGGCCCGCCGAAGCCGCGGGAGACGCCCAGCCGCCCGCGGCCTCCGACGGGGCGGCCGCGGCCGCTTCGCCGCCGCCGCTGCGCTTGCTGGTGCTCACGGGCTTCGGCGGCTACGACAAGGTGAAGCTGCAGACCAGGCCGGCCGCGCCCCCGGCCCCCGGCCCCGGCCAGGTGACCGTGCGCGTCCGGGCCAGTGGCCTCAACTTCGCCGACGTGATGGCGCGGCAGGGGATCTACGACCGGACGCCGCCGCTGCCCCACACGCCGGGCATGGAGGGCGCGGGGGTCGTGGTCGCGGTGGGCGAGGGAGTCGAGGACCGCAAGGTGAGCGGAGCAGCCCGGGCCGGGGGTGCGGGCAGCCGGGCGGGAGGGGCGGCCGCGGGGGAAGCTGGCGGGGGGACCTGGGGAGACGGGCGTGGAAGACGTAGGATAGGAAAGGGGCCCGGGTTCTGAAGCTCCTGGGAAACTGGATTTGCATTGGGGGGCGGCGTGAGCCGGAGCTATCCCCCCTTCCCAACCATTTTTCATGGTGGCCGCCGCCCAGGAGCAGCGGGGGTGGTGGTGGGTGTGTTTGGGGGGGGAAACAATAAGGCGCCCATGCGCATGCGCGTAATGACCTTATTAGTGCCCCCTCCCCCGCCCCCCGCCCCGCAATCCCCAGTGAAACCACACCTGTGCCCCTGCCCAGCAAACACAGCCCTTAAGGGAGGTTTGTGGCCCCGATTGGTGCCTCGTTCCTCGGTGAGCTTGAGGAGGTATGGAGTCAGGGCTGGGCGGCGGCAGAGGGCTGTGCCAGAGCCCTAGTCACATGCAGCCCCGTGGTCTGTGGGGGTGTGAGGCGGCCCCGCCCAGGACAGGGCCGGCGAGGAGGCACGCCCATCCCATGGAAGAGAGGGAGCCTGCCACCGCCCCTCCACCGGCCCCGCAAGGCCCGGCTGACTTTGTTGGGGGCCAGGGAGGGGGGAGATATGGGTACGGAGTTGAGATTAGGTCTCTGGATCTTTGTTTTGGACTCTGACTCCCGTGACTGCAATATCTCCTCCTCCTCCGGTGACTCAGCCATGGGGTCACGACCCCCGTGGCTGCCGTTGGGAAAGTCCCAGCAGGCAGACCCTGCCTCAGCCTTCCTGGTGGAGGACCCTCGGAACCCCTGCAGGTGCTGTTTTGGACTGGGGTTGAGGGGTGTGGCAGCGGGAGCAGGTTGGCCCAGCTCTGCAGGTCTGTTTCTCCTTTTATATATATATATATATATATATATATATATATATATATATATATATATATATATATATATATATATATATATTATGTTTACAGAGAGGAAAGGAGAGGGATAGAAAGTCAGAAACACCGATGAGAGAGAATCATTGATCAGCTGCCTCTTGCACACCTCCCACTGGGGATGTGCCTGCAACCCAGGTACATGCCCTTGAGCAGAATCGAACCTGGGACCTTCCAGTCCGCAGGCTGACGCTCTAACCACCGAGCCAAACCGGTTTCGGCTGTTTCTCCTTTTTGTTTATCATTAATCTTGGCCACAACCCTGGACACCGGAGAGTTCCAAATGACCAACTTTTTGAGAGACTTGGAGTGAGCCTTTGCATGTCATTTGTTTAGGGGTGTCTTTTGAAATCGGGCCCCCGCACGAGAGGCCCCTCAGATGCAGCCTTTCTCTCGCTGGGCCTGCCAGTCCTAAATCCCAGAGCTGGAATTCTTGGATTTATTTGTACACGCAGACATATCCTCTTTAAAGGGCTTCTTCCTGGATTCAGCTCTGGCCCCACCCTTTCTACTGGCTTTTAAATAATCCCACTCTTGAGAGGGTGCTAAGAGGAAATTTTTTTTTAGTGGGGGCAGTTGTAGTTCATGCTGCTGATGTAGGCCACCCACCAAACCTCCCCTCCCCACACTTTCCTCTTGGTAAATACAGGATATCCTGTCCAGGGCAAAAATCTGATTTTAAGAGGCTGGATTCTGTGGGGAGGGCTCCCTCCCTGCCTCCTGATATCAGGGCTGACTCTGCTCTGTGATGGACAGAGTGGTGGGCATTAATCTGGGTAAGTGGTCAGCTTTGTTCTGGGCCAGATGTGGGCCTGGTCACCAACCAGACCGACCACTGATTTTTCCCAGTCCTCCAGGGTCACTGCCGAGCCTGCTAATCCTGAGTCTTCATGTGGGATGCTTTCATTCCCCGCTCCTCATCTCAGATCAGTGCTTAAAGGGAAAGATCCTAGCCTCCCCTCCATCCCCACAATCAGTGGAATGGGGGGCCTTGAGGACATGAAAAAGGGTGTGTGGGAGAGTCCCATGCCCCTTCCTCATGGATCCCAAACCTTTTAATATACAGAATTCCCATCATTCCTGACAGGGGCCGAGACAGACCCGGATTGTCCCAGAATAGCACCCACACCTCCCTCTCCATGCTCTTCAAAGAGTGGGAGGGGCCTTCCTTTCTCCTGAGAATGTTCCCTTTCCCTGCCCTACGCTGAAAGGAGCCTCTCCTTCAGGTGGCTAAGAGTTAGGAGATACCTTTTCCTGGTGAGAGGGATTGTGTGGCTCTTCTTTTTTTCTTTTTTCTTTTAAAAAAAAAATGTATTTTATTGATTTTTTTACAGAGAGGAAGAGAGAGGGATAGAGAGTTACATCGATGAGAGAGAAACATCGGCCAGATGCCTCCTGCACACCCCCCACTAGGGATGTGCCCACAAACAAGGTACATGCCCTTGACCGAATCGAAGCCAGGACCTTTCAGTCCGCAGACCGAGGCTCTATTCATTGAGCCAAACTGGTTTTGGAGTGTGGCTCTTCTTGTCCATCACCTCTGCCCACAACACACACATCTCTGAGTGAAAGTGTCCCTGGGCCCCAGTGCTGGCTCAATTACTTCTCCTGAGGGAACCACACCCAGTTCTAACTGATCTCTGACCTGTACTGTGCTATTGACCTTATTATCACATACTCCATCTTCCTTCAGTTACTGGACTTGGTCACCTCTCCTCCTGGTTACTATTGTTGTTATTATTGTTGTTGTTAGTTAACACCACTGAGTGTCTACTATGTGGCCAACATTTGGCTAAAAAAAAGACTAAATGATTTTTTTGTTACTTAATCCTCACAACTCCCTAATTTACAGATAGGAAAACTGAGGTTCAAAAAAGTTAATTTTTGCCAAAATTGGTTTGGGTCAGTGGATAGATCATCAGCCTGTGGACTGAAAGGTCCCAGGTTCAATTCTGGTCAAGAGCACCTATTTTGGTTGCGCTCACATCCCCAGTAGGGGCGTGCAGGAGGCAGCTAATCAATATTTCTAACTCTCTCCCTTCCTCTCTGTAAAAAATCAATAAAATAGCCGAAACCCTTTTGGCTGGCTCAGTGGATAGAGTGTCAGTCTGGGACTGAAAGGTCCCAGGTTCGATTAAGGTCAGGGGCATGTACATTGGTTGCGGGCACATCCCCAGTAGGGGGTGCGTAGGAGGCAGCTGGTCGATGTTTCTCTCTCATCAGTGTTTCTGGCTTTCTGTCCCTCTCCCTTCCTCTTTGTAAAAAATCAATAAATTATATTTAAAAAATCACACAAGAAACAAAACAAAAATATATACTATATATATTTTAAAAAATCAATAAAATATATTTTAAAAAAGAAAAGGAAAAATCCCTCCTTAAAAAAAAAAAAGGTAGTTTTCTGTTTGCCTAATGTCACATGGTCAATAAGTAGTGGAGCCTGTTTTTTTTTGTTGTTTGTTTGTTTTTTTTTTTAACAGAATTAGTTTGATCTCTTCAATACTTTATGCTGCCCCAACTGTAAGCTTCTTGCATCAGGGATCTTACACAATAGTGAAGTCTAATATCTGTAAAATGGAGATAAGGATGGTATCTACCTTAAAGAGCTGGCGTAACGATTAGTTAAGTGTTTATATATAAAGCCCTTACAATATAGCCTGGTCCTTGGGGAGCACTCAGTAAAGGCGAGTTGTTATTGTTTGTAGTGACATTATTATTATTATTACCGTAACTACCACTGCTCCTTCGCTACCAGGAAGAGGGCCTTGTACATAACAGAAGCTCATAAATTGCCAATGAGTGAATGAATGAGTGACTTAATCATGCTCTGCTTTCATTCTTCAAGGTAGGGGATCGGGTGATGGTGTTGGTCCGCTGGGGCATGTGGCAGGAGGAGGTGACTGTGCTCTCAGCCCAGACCTTTCTGATGCCTGAGGCCATGACCTTTGAGGAAGCTGCTGCCTTGCTGGTTAATTATATCACCGCATACATGGTCCTTTTTGACTTTGGCAACCTACGGCCTGGCCACAGCGTCTTGGTACACATGGCTGCAGGTAACAGGCCCCTTTCCTTTATGCCTCTCCTTAGCCAGATTTCCTCCTAGGCCCCTTCTCAGTAGCATGTCTGGACTGTTGCCATGGTACCACAAGGCTGCCTTGGCCTATGGCTCCCCGCAGGCCTCTGCAGTATTGTTGCCGTGGCAACATTCAGGCACCAGATCCAGCCTGGTGTGCTATCCATAGCAACATGCTGTGGCCCGGCACCCCTTCCTTGCCAGATACCCTTCCTCCAATTCTCAATCACAGAAATTGGACGTGAGATGAGAGGAGAAAGCCTCTGATTGAGCCCAGGCAAAATGAAGATGGTGGGGTTGGTCCTTGAGAGGCAAGAATGGAGGCTAGATGACTATATGACTATATCTCCTACTTATGAAAGTGTCTCCCGGCAGGGGGTGTGGGAATAGCCGCCTTGCAGCTGTGCCGAACAGTGGAGAATGTGACGGTGTTTGGAACGGCCTCAGCCAGCAAGCATGAGATACTGAAGGAGAACGGGGTCACATATCCCATTGACTACCACACGACTGACTACGTGGAGGCGGTCAAGAAGATCTCCCCCAAAGGTGGGCCAGGGTATGGGACGGCATGGCCCGGAGGGGAGGTCTCCAAATAGGTGGGCTCTAATGCTGCTCCTGGCCCCCTTACTCCGTGACAGGCGTGGACATCGTCATGGACCCTCTGGGTGGGGCCGACACTACTAAGGGCTACAACCTCCTGAAACCCATGGGCAAGCTGATCACCTATGGTAAGTCTGTGGGCCAGAATGGGGAGGGATCTAGGGGCCCAGGGCTCTTGAATGAAGAAGGGGCAGGATCTGGAGAGAAAGCGCTAGAGTTAAGATGGCCCTGAGATGTTGCACTCAGATTGCTGCCTCCTGGGTGCAGCTGTTGTCATTTTCTTTCACAACCTCCCGTGTGAGTGACAGTAAATTGTGTTCTTTCTGTGCTCCTGTTTGGGGATTATTCTTTTTTAAAAATATATTTTTATTGATTTCAGAGACGGAAGGAGAGGGAGAAAGAGAAACATCAATGAGGAGAGAGAATCATTGATTGGCTGCCTCCCGCATACCCCTCACTGGGGATCGAGCCCACAACCTGAGCATGTGCCCTTGACCAGTGTTGAATCCGGGAACTCTCAGACCGCAGGCCTCCTCTTTATCCACTGAGACAAACCACCTACGGCTGGGGATTATTCTTGATGCATAACCACCCCGTCTGCCTTCCTCTGTTCCCCCCTCCTGACTTCTGGGACAACTGCATTTCCACTTAAAACACCATTTCACACACCTGAAACTAATACAAAATAATAAAGAATGTAAACTGTCATTGAGAAATAAAATTTAAAAAAACATTTCACATAAAAAGAAACAAATAGACATTAGAACCATTTTTGAGTTAGATGGAATCTTTTGGAGCTTGATAGCCTGCAGGCAGTGGGTTATGCTGTCACTTCCTGGCACTGGCATGGATAATGCTAAGGGCCCACAGGGCTGGGCCTGGCACCCGGATTCACAGGCCGTGTCTCCTTGTCTCTCAGGAATGGCCAACCTGATGACAGGCCCCAAGCGGAACCTGATGGCCCTGGCACGTACATGGTGGAATCAGTTCAGCGTGACAGCTCTGCAGCTGCTGCCGGCCAACCGGGCCGTGTGTGGCTACCACCTGGGCTACCTGGATGATGAGGTGGAGCTGGTCAGTGGTGTGGTGTCCCGCCTGGTGGCTCTGTACAACCAGGGCCACATCAAACCTCACATTGACTCTGTGTGGCCCTTTGAGAAGGTGAGTGTGATGGCAGGGAGGGCCTGGAGAGGCTGGGGTCCTAGGGGGAGGACCCTGAGAGGCTGGGGTCTTAGGGGGAGGATTCCTTGGGGGAGGAGCGCCTCCTTCTTTAGGGGGACTCTCTGGAGCACTGGGAGCAGCGCCTCATCTTCCTTTTCAGGTGGCGGATGCCATGAAGCAGATGCAGGAGAAGAAGAATGTGGGCAAAATCCTCCTGGTGCCTGGGGCAGAGAAGGAGAACTAGGATGGGGGCTGGGAGACGCTCGGGAAGAGAGAAGCTGGGAGGCCATGTTTTGGTGGCCACCAGATCCTCCAGTTTCATCCTCTATCATAACGCTCTACCCTCTCTCCCCCAAAGGTCTCCATGGTGATGACCTCTCCCTTGCCCTGTGTTTTCTCTAAAGCCAGGGCTGCCCCCTCCCTCCTTCCTGCCCTCTGAAGAGGTTAGGAAGTGACCACTTGGATGTCTGGGCCCCGCCAAGGGGACAGGGAGGGGCAGAGGGAGACTGGCTGCTTCCTGCCCCCACCCTTCCCCTGGGCCTGTTGTGCTGCTTTTGTGCCAAGACTAGCCAATCCCTTCCCGTTCTGTTCTACGTGCTTCTGCCTCTGCCCCATCTCCCCTCCTGCCCCTGCCCCATCACCTCCCCCAAAGAAATGAAATGTCAGCTCAGGATATGGGGCCAATCTCTGTGAGTCCAGCATGTCCCTGTTTCGCCCTAGTGTCCCTTCAACCCGGGCCGACCAGCGCCCATCTCTGAACTCCTTTGCCTCGTTGTGTGGCCTCATCTTCTTGTCCCCCAACTTCTTAAGCACAATCGGGCTCCTTCCACCTCCATGTTTCCTGCCTCTCTTCACCCAGGTGGCCTCTTACCACAAGGGCAGGCATCACACCTGCTCCCCTAGGTCAGACTCTGGGGGAGGGACGCAGAGGCCCCCTGCCTTCACTGAGTTCTCTGCATTTGTTCTCAGTGCCTTAGCAATGGACAACCTGTGCTGTGCATATGGAGAGGGGCCCTGTCCCTGCCTCACACCTCCTTCTCCACCCTGTGCTCCCCAGTGCCTTCCTTGTTCTGGTAGAGCTGGGGTTCTACTGCTCCCCAGTCTCACAACACCTCCAAACCTCTGAGAGTGCCAGTGTCAGGGGCAGGAACAGCCCCTGGCCTCCTAGTCCTGTGCCATGTGCTGTCTCTCTCTGGGCTGTCATTTCTCTCTCAGAGGTTGAGGAGGAAGAGGGGGGAGTTTTCTCAGCCTTGCAGGGAAGGATGGCACTTACCAGCCAGAGCCTGGGAGTCAGTGCTGTCTACTTCTTGTTCTGGGACCAAAGTAAACATTAAAGCACATCCCCGTGCAGCCAAGGGAGGCCCCTGCCCCCAGCCTTCTCAGAGCAGGGAGGCACCTTCTCAAGCTCATGCCCAAACTTTGTTTACATGGGTGGGGAGATGCAGTGAGGGAGATGGTGGGGGCGGGGGGCGGGTTGGGAACTGGGCCCCTGGAACCAAAGTGGGGACTTCCTAGGGTACAGGTGTAGCTCCCTCAGCTCTCTGAGCTGGCATTAGGAAGGGTTCTTGCCCAGCCATTGGCAATGGGAGGTGGTGGGGAGGGGTTCAGCCTCTTCATTGTCTAAATGAGGCCTAAAGGGTGTGAAGTCCGACTTCTGCTTTTGTGTACCCCACCCCATGACCAACCGAAGCTGCCTTTGTGTTTGTGTCAATAAAAAGCTCAACCCTGGATCCTGGCTGTTGCCTCTGAGAGTGGAGGGGAAGGTCAGTGCTGGTGGCAGAAGGCTATGGTTTCTGCCCCCCAAACCCCTTGCCTCCTTCCTTTCCCAAATCAAGTTTCATGAAATGAAATGAAATGAAATGAGGAAGGAGATCGCTCCAGGCAAGCACTTTTACTGTCTGGGACAGCGTTTCACAGCTCAGAGTCCTGCCCTCCGTTGACTAGCAGGATCTTGATCATCCGCATGTACCCAACCCCAGCCCGGTTAGAGAACCTTGGCAGAGGGCTGGAGGGCGGTGAGAAGGCTCCTAGCTAGGTGGTGAAGACAGCCAGGCGTTGCTCTCCTGGGGGCACGGCTGTCAGGGCCTCCACCTCCCCTCCCCCACGGGTGGGCTTCTGGAAGTGCACCTGCAGGACATCCTGCAGCTCGGGGCCATCCAGCACATCGGGAATGTTGAGCACCAGCACTGCCTGCGGCACTGGCTGGAACTTGATCTGGAGAGGGAGTTCCGAGATGAGCAAAGTCTCATGAGAGTCAGGGGCTGGGGCAGAGGGTGGAGGAGGCAGGGCCCATGGGAATATGAGAGGGGCAGACAGGTTACCTGGCCAGCCCCCCTTCCCCACCTTCCCACTCACCTCTGCCTTCTGAATCTCTCCACTCATGTAGGGAGAGACTTTCAGAGGGAACTGCCGCCCACCCAGAGGCACGGTGAACTGGCCGATCTGGCACAGGTTCTGGGCCACTGCAGGGATGGGAAGGGTAGGCCTTTAGTGTCCAGGGCTTCCTCCTCTGGGGCCTGATGCATCCGCCCTAATCTCCCTGAGAGGCCCTTACCTTCCTCCTTAGCGAAGCCCAGCATGACACCCGCATGCAGCAGTTCCCGAGTCTCCACATCTCCTCCCCCGTTCTTGGTCTTGCCAAAGAAGAGCTCCACCTTGTCCAGCAGCTCCTCCTCACTCAGCTTGAGCTTCGCCGGAAACCCACTGACCAGCACTGTCTGGCTGCTCATCTGGCTGGACACCTAGGGGTAGACAAGGAGGAGTGTTCCAGGCACAGCCCCACCCCCCAGTGTCCAGGGCATGGCCCCCCACAGGTCCCCGGACTCTGCCACTCGGTCACCTGGATGGCTGTCACCATGGGCAGCTCCACCGGCTGGACCTGCACCCGCAGCCGACACTCTTCCATCTGGATCTGATGCTCCTTTTGTTGCAGCACCTGCTTGGCCACTGGGTTGGGGGTAAGAGGGGAGGGGTCGGGGGGAGGCAGGATCAGTACTGGGAAGCCTCCCAGCCTCCCTCTTAAGGCCTCCCAGACAACTCACCCTTGGGGTCATCAAAGATGATGAGAGCTGAGCCTCCAGACAGAGGGTAGGAGATCCGCAGGTTGGAGACCAAAGACTTGGGCCCTTCCATGTCCTCCTTAATGTGTCCTCGGAACACCAGGGGGACTTCAGGAACTGGGAATGGGACCTGGAGATGGGGAGGGTGGGGCTGATATAGCCTTCAAGGGTGGGGGAGCTCTCTACTCCCTCCCAGGAGGAAGTGTCCCCAGTTCCATGTGATTGATACTAAGTGCAAGGGATGAATATGTTTAATGGAAGAAGAGCTGGATAAGTAAGCCGACGAAAGCAGGTCAAGCTTGTTCTGGCACTTAAAATATCTTTTTTTAAATCCTCACCCAAGGATATTATTTCCCATTGACTTTTAGAGAAAGTGGAAGGGGAGGAGAGGAGAGAGAGAGGGAGAAACATTGATGTGAGAGAGACACATTGATTGGTTGCCTTCTCCACGTACCCAACTGGGACCAGGTACTGCACCTGCAACCCAGGTACATGCCCTTGACTGGGAATCAAATCTTCAACCCTTTGATGCGCAGACCGGCCGATGCTTCAACCACTGAGCACACCGGCCATGCCTGTCCTGGCACTTTATATACAGGATTTTAGTTTGTCATCACACAAATGATGAAAAACCAGGTCCAGAGGGTTCAAGTAACATACTCTAGGACAATGGTTGGCAAACTCATTTGTCAACAGAGCCAAAATAACAATTACAGCGATTGAAATTTCTTTTGAGAGCCGAAAACAGACTTCTACCCATGGGCCACTAAATTTCAATCTCACTGTGTGTGCGCTCCCGCACGTGGTATTTTGTGGAAGAGCCACACTCAAGGGGCCAAAGAGCCGCATGTGGCTCTCGAGCCTGGTTTGCAGACCACTGCTCTAGGACTAGGTTACACAGCGAGGAAGTGGCAGAACCAGGAGTGAAACTAAGAACTCCCCAGCTCTTTCTGCCAGGCCACACCCCTCTCCCAGCTTACCTTGTCTTGGGGGGAGTCCCTGAGCCCCCTTTTCAGCTCCTGCAGTTCCTGCAGCCTCATCTTCAGTTTGGCCTGCTCCTCCTGAAGGGTGCGTAATAGGCTCCCCCTCCTGAGGGATGCCTATTGGGACAGACAGAACAGTCAGAGATCAGCGGCCTTTCCAGGGAAGGGGATCCTACTCTGCTTAAGAACAACCCAACTGCCGAAACCGGTTTGGCTCAGTGGATAGAGCGTTGGCCTGAGGACTGAAAGGTCCCAGGTTTGATTCCGGTCAAGGGCATGTACCTTGGTTGCGGGCACATCCCCAGTAAGGAGTGTGCAGAAGGCAGCTGATCGATGTTTCTCTCTCATTGATGTTTCTAACTCTCTATCCCTCTCTCTTCCTCTCTGTAAAAAACCAATAAAATTTATTTAACAAACAAACAAAACAACCCGGCCCTGGGCGGGTCCTGGCCCCTCTACTCAGGACCTGGTGGCCTCAGCCACTCCCTGAAGGGCAGAAGCCTTTGCAGCAGCCATGGCTGGTTTATTATTGAGACCTAGAGTTTAACACACACTGAGTGAGCTTCTGCTGTGAGGTGCTGGGTGCTGACACAGGGCAGTAGAAGACAAGAGCCAAGCCTCAAGCCTGTACAAATCAGAACCCGAGACTGTAAGCGATCACATGACTGACTGTGGAGGACAGCAGGAGTTTGGAGGAGGCAGAGTCGCAAAAGGGTTAACACAGCGAGGGAGGCCTCCAGGGGAAAAAGGTGCGTAGAGTTGCAAAATGTCCTAATACTATTAGCTAACACACATTAAGCACAAACATGTCAGGCATTGTTTTATTTTTTTTCAGGTTACAAGAGAACATTTATTTAGAAAGATACAGAGACAGAAGGGAGCCAGCCAGGTTGCGTAAGCTCAGGAAATAAGTTGCAGAGGCAGAAGGGCCTTTGGAGCTTAGGGGGGAGAATGGCAGAGGTAACTGCTCCTGGGGGGCGGGGGGCAGGGGGAGAAGTGGGGGAAGGAAAGGCGCAGGTGTGCTCCGGAGGAGAGCACCTGTCCTGAGCCATTAATACAGATTATACCACTCGGTTCTCCCCTCAGCCCTCTTGTCCTTACTTTACAGACGAGGAAACCCAGAGCTCAGAGAGTTTAAGTGATTTGCCCCAAGAAATTCAGCCCTATCAGAGTGATTCCACCCTGCTAATTTTTAAAAGAATATATTTTATTGATTGAGTGAGAATCATTGATGAGAGAGAAACACTGACCAGCTGCCTCCTGCACACCCCCCATGGGGGATGTGCCCACAACCAAGGCACATACCCTTGACTGGAATCGAACCTGGAACTCTTGAGTCTGCAGGCTGACGCTCTATCCACTGAGCCAAACCGGTCGCTGCTAATTTGTGCTCTACAGTGAAGAAATCAAGCCCAGAGCTGGAGAGTAATTTACTCCCCCCACCCTCCAGCGTGTCCCTGAACTGCTAGCTACCTTTTTCATTGCTCCAAGCTGGTGTCATTTGGAGCAGGCCGAGAGAGAGAGAGAGAGAGAGAGAGAGAGAGAGAGAGAGAGAGAGAGAGAGACTGACATGGGCAGGGGAATGACACCAGGGATAGGAATCAATGCACCTTTGTTTGTGGGTTGGAGCAGTTGCTAGCTGGCATAGGCCACTGGTGCTGGGAAGCCTGAAAATAAGGTCAGCCCAGAACTAAGTGTGAGCTCGCGTGGGGAGATGGGACTCCGTCTTGGTCTTCTCTGTATCTCCAGAGCTCAGCAGAGTCTCTGGCACAAACAGGCTTTCGGCAAGTGGGTGTTGAATGAATAAATGGAGTGAATGAATAACAGGACGAAAGCATGTTACAGAGGGTATTGAAGACATCCAGTGAGTTCGCTCTCATTTTAAGCAGAGAAAAACTAGGGCTTGAATAATGCTGGTTTATGAGTAGTGAGAAAGGTAGCTCATTTTTTTTCTTTCCTCCATTCTTTATATTTCTGTAAACAAGGGGTCACACACTCAGTGCCTATAAGGGCCAGTGAGATGACATCAGTGAGCCAAGGGAGCCAATAGAGTGAGATAAGGAGACGTGGAGAGCCTGACACACTGGAGAGAGTGTGTATCCCCGCTAAAGTAGCAACCTCTTCTTAGTCTAACCCAGTTTTTTCACATGGGAGTGTGCTGTGGCCCTGTATCCCCTATCTCTCCCATTTTAACCTGTTAATTACGCAACGTATAATAGGCACTCTTTCACTAGGACGTGTCAGTACGTCACGCTCGGTGGACGTAATTTCATATTATTATTTTTAAAATTTATACTTAATTAAAATAAATGAAATATACATTTTTTGTTTATTTATATATAAAGCACAAAGGAAAATACAAAATTACAAACAAATAGAAAAAAAATACCAAAAAAAAATGGAAACATCAAATTAAAAAATTATAAATTTTACAAACAATTATAAAGATTACAAAAAATATATACTGTCCATTTCAGGGCGCAACATATATTTCAAGGACGTATTCATATGTCCTCCTTGTTCCAGATATTGTTTACGTTTGACGTATTTATAAGTCTCTCTCGGTTAACAGGTTAAAGGGAAATCAGAAACCTGGATTTTTATTTGAAAAAGATGGCTCAATGTAAAAAATACATGAAAACTAAAATACATTGGTGGGCTGGATTCAGTCCACAGTCCATTCTCTTTTTACTTCTGCTTTAAATCTTGATCTAATTATACATAATTGAAAATCTAGTGCCTGGCAATGCTAATTTTTAATAAATAGCTTAATAAAAATAAATAAGAGCTTCACAAATAGACTATTTTATTTTATTATTTTTATTTTTTAAAATATATTTTATTGATTTTTTACAGAGAGGAAGGGAGAGAGATAGAGAGCCAGAAACGTCAATGAGAGAGAAACATCGACCAGCCGCATCCTACACCCCCCCCACCGGGGATGTGCCCGCAACCAAAGTACATGCCCTTGACCGGAATCGAACCCGGGACCTTTCAGTCCGCAGACAGACGCTCTACCACTGAGCCAAACCGGTTTCAGCACAAATAGACTATTTTAAAGAAAATTTCAAGCTGGGGAGGTTAGATGTGCCATCAGCAAGGAAATGGGGAACTAGTGAAGATTTCTGAAAGACGGGGGAAGGGAACGGACATGGTGTTTAAAAGGAACCCTGGGTGTGACGGCAGGATGAACTGGGGCAGGAAGCGTGGAGTGTGGGAAACAAGCCCACGCTCCGTGGCTCTAGCTCCCACCAACGTGAAGGAGCTGAGCGGACCTCTGGCAGGGGCAGCCAGGGAGCACATGTGGGCGAGTACATTTCACGAAGACAACCTCCCGGACACAGTGGATGTTTGTATTAAACAGACAGAGGGCAGTGAAGACGATGCCAGAATGCAGACCTGGTGCCCCAGCTTGGTATAATGCCACTGGCCCAGAGGGCAAGGAAGGAGATCCAGGCCTGCTATAGTAAATGCCAGGCTCGGCTGGACTCTATCTCTTAAATACCACAAAATTCCCTCCTGTCTCCAACTCCCCACTGAAACTTGTCTCTTACAGGACTCTCTTAAGGCCAACTGTAATCACTTAACCTGAATTCAGCTCTACTGGCTATTTACTTATACAACGTGATAACATGGTCTCTAACTGCGGGCCATGTCCTGGCTGGTGTGGCTCAGTTGATTATTGTCCTATGCAGTTTGATTCCTGGTCAGGGCACATGCATAAGTTTTAGGTTGATCCCTGGTAGGGAGCATGCAGGAGGCAGCTGATCAATGTTTCTCTCTCTCTCCCTCTCCCTTTCTCTATCTAAAATTAATAAAAACAGCCCGGCTGGCAGGATTCAGTGGTTGAGTGTTGAGGAGGTACGGTTCGATTCCTGATTGGGGCATATCCCTGGGTTGTGCACTCAATCCCCAGCATGGGGCATGCAGGAGGCAGCTGATGGATGATTTTCTCTCTCTCTCTCCCTTCCCCTCTGAAATTTAAAAAAAAAAAGAAATAAAAAATATTTAAATAAATGCAAGCCATCTGGTGCTCCACTGAAAAACTTGCTACCCAATCTACATTGAGCTCATTGAGCGACAATAAATTCTGGATACTTTTTGGGTAAGTTCATGATTTAAAGTTAATTTTGACTACATATATTCTTTTGGCTTACTTGCTGAGTTTAGAATCCCATGAGACAAAACCTCATGATAAAACCTCATGCTCTCTATGTTCATCATGCGAGTATCAGGAGGCAGTTTAGCATACGATTAAAAGCACAAACTCTGGGGCCAAACCTCTGGGGTTTACATCAGCTCATCTTACTACTGCAAGTTAATAGTAGTTTCTACCTGTATTTAAGTTTTTAAAAATCCTTTCTCAGGGATATGTTTTTATTGATTTTATAGAGAGAAGGGAGGGACGGAGAGAGAGAAAGAGGGAGAGAGAGAAACATTGATGTGAGATGGGCACATTGATTGGTTACCTCCTGCTCTTGCCCCAACAGAGGATTAAACCTACAACCTAGGTATGTGCCCTGCCTGGGAACCAATTCCACAACTTTTTGGTTTATGGGACGATGCTCCAACCAACCGAGGTACCCAGCCAGACACCTGTATTTAATTGTTTGAAAGTGGTACATGGCACAAAAGTGCTGTTATATGTTTTCTATTTTAATTAAAAACAAAACACCTTTTTTAGATGAGGAACCTGAGGTTCATCAAGTTTAATTAATGGGCCAAAGTTAATCAAACCCAAGGCTGTTGAAGACACACAAGGTCAGGGACAGGACTTGGTGGACAAGACCCTGGGTTAGAACAGCATGTGGTGATGGTTGAGCCAAGAGCGTGGAAGAGCTCTCTAAGGAAAAGAACCTTAAAAAAATCTTTGCGGATACCTGGTCAGGGGTCAGGAGAGAATGCAGGGAAGAAATAGAACGCATGGTCAGAAATAAGCAGGGCCAGGCCAGGATTGGGAAGTGTCAGACACAAAGGAGAAGGAATAAAACTGGCTACCAGAAGGCCATTCATTCACTGCTCACCAGTACTCACTCACTCACTCATCAATCAGCATCTACCATCTGCCAGGCCCTGTCTAGGCTCTGGGGACACAGAATTGAACACAACAGACAAAACTTCCTTGTGGAGTTTACGTAAAATGTGCATTATGCTAGCGATTAAGTGTTATGGATAAAAACAAAGCAGAGAACGTTGGAGGATAATTTTAAATGGGAATACGAATAGGCCTCACTGAGATATCTGAGCATGAAATTGAAAGAGATGAAGGAGCAAGCCGTACATGTGGGGGGGAAGTTCTATGCAAAGGGAAAGCAAGTGCAAAGGCCCTGCGGTGGGAGTTGGTCAGGTGTATTTGGAGGGTAGCAAGGAGACCTGTGCGGGATACACACGGGGAAGCAGAGGGAGTGAGGGGAGTGATTGGAAATAAAGTCACAGAGGGGTTTGGATCATGCAGGTCTTTTACTTGATGCGAGGTGGGAAGCCCTAGGCAGGCTTAAAGGTTAACAGGATTCCCTGGCTGTTGCATGAGTAGGTTGATGTGGGGAATTAGCATAAGCAGGGAGGTCATTACAGCATCCAGGTGAGTGATGCTAGTGACTTCGACCAGGTGGTAGCAGTGGAGGTGGTAACGAGCAGTCAAAAGAAATAACACACTGTAGCTGCTGATGGATCAGAAATAGGGTGTGAAGAAAGAAAGGAGTCTGGAACGACTTCAAAGCTTTTATTTTTAATGTGTGTGTTTTTTAAATTGATTTCAGAGAGAGGCAGGGAGAGATAGAAACATCAATGATGAGAGAGAATCATTGATCAGTTGCCTCCAGCACGCCCCCTTCTGAGGGTCAAGCCCGCAACCCAGGAATGTGCCCTTGGCTAGAATCGAACCTGGGACCCTTCATCCACAGGCCGACGCTCTATCCACTGAGCCAAACCAGCTAGGACTATTCTGATCTCTTTTTTTTAAAAAATTGTATTTATTGATTTCTGAGAGAGTGTGGAACACAGATTTGTTTCACTTATTTACACATTTGTTGGTTGATTCTTGTATGTGCCCTACTTGGGGCCCAGTCCTCACATGAGTAGAGGTCAGGAAATGGTGGACAGCAGGCGGCAAGCAGCTCAGTTCTCAGAGGAGGTACATTTCTTCAAACTCACAATCTTAGTGTCAGGACGGATGCTCAACCAACAGAACTACCCAGCCAGCGCCTTAAATGTTTAGAATTGTCATGAGAGCAATTCTTAAGATTTTAGATCACGGAACCTTTTGGGTATCTAATGAAAACTACAGATTCTCTCCAGAAAAATGCATTCCCACAAGGAACTCATCAGCTCCCAAGGTACAGATTGTATTGATTTGTCTCTGAGGCAGTGGGTTAGGGAGCTAACTCCGCAGGGGAGAGGAATCCAGCCTCGTTTCTCAGCCTAGACCTTCAGCTTGCCTAAGAGACTGACAGGGAGAGGCTAGGACTCCCGGCGAGGCTGAGAGGAAGGCTCCTCTGCTCCGCCCCCGCCCAACACCCTCCTCCTCACTTACGGGACCAGGAGTCACTGACATGGTCTGGGATCTGGTTGGCAAGAGCCGAGGCTTCGGAGCTGGAAACGAAGTAGCAGAATCCATCCAGCAGAGCCCTTGCTTCCACCTTCTCAGGAGACTTCTGTCCCGTAGCAGAGCCTGAAACGCACCTCAAACAGTTCTGCCTGCGGGCTCTTTGCTTCCACTTTCATTTCTGGGAAGTCCCTGCCCATTTAGTGCTCACATGGCCGGCTGCTTTTCCCCACCCCTGGAGACTTCCTGGTCTCTACATCGACTTCACTCAGCTACGAGGCCTTAGGGGAAACTGCCTTACTAAATGCAAACTAGATCCTGGCCCCAACCAACCATTCCCAACCTGTCAATCCCAGCAGAAGCCCACGGGTAGAAATTTGTCTGCTTGGTTAGTAGATATTTCCCGAGAGTCCAGAATAATGCCAGGTACATGCAGACATTGATCGATAAAACTGAATGTCAAATGCAACCAGGACGAAGCCACTCCAAGTTCACCAAGCTGTTACAATACCATTTATTGAGAACTGCTGTGCCCAATATTGGTTCTGTTTTGCATGAATTCAACTCAGTCTTCTAAACAACCCCTTAGTTCTTTCCAGATTTTACCAATGAGATTCTAAACTTCTGAACTACATAAATTTGTCCAGTCAAATTATAGCAAGTGAAGCATGTATCCAAACTTGGACAGTATTTGAATTTGGGCTTTGAGGCACGAGAACTTGAATTTTTAATTAAAGCAGAGTTTAAAGTCTTGGAACTCTTGAGTACAAGCTAACAGGAGTGTTTCAACAGATGTCCAATAAAGGTCAGAGGAGCCAAATTAAAGTACATAAAAGTATCTTTCCTATAGTTTTCCTCTAGTCCAGGTTTTTTGTTGTTTTTTTTTTTTAAATATATTTTTATTGATTTTATACAGAGGGAGATAGTTAGAAACATCGATGAGAGATCAGCTGCCTCTTGCACACACCCTACTGGGGATATGCCCGCAACCAAGGTACATGCCCTTGACCGGAATCGAACCCAGGACCCTTCAGTCCCCAAGCCGATGCTCTATCCACTGAGCCAAACTGGTCCCAGCTAGTCCAGGGTTTTTACACCGGTAACTCATTGAGCCCTTCTCACAGCCCCCGCCCCAGATGGAAGTGCGCCTCAGGCCTGGCCAATAGTTCTCTGGATCCGTTTCTGTGTGACTGAGAACCAGTTCAGCTGGAGAGCCTCATTCGTAAAAACATGGTCACAAGTATCCCAAGCCCTGAGAATCACACCCTTTCTTTAAAAAATAGATTTTAGAGGGAAACAATGAGAATCATGGATTGGCTGCATCCTGTACATCCCCTGTTGGGGATTGACTGATCCATAGGTTGATCCCCAACCACTGGCCAGTCTCTGCTAGCGAGGCTGTTAGACCACTTCCCAGTACTACTAGAAATGGCTGCTCTTGGCCTGGCCCCACCGAGTGGTCATCATTGGAAGCACACCAGTATCACCAGACAACTTGCTAGCAATTCTTAACTAAATCTGACTCATAGGGTGACTTTGGTTTGACCAATCACCAGTGCTAACCAAGGTTTGAGAACCTCAGGTCAGTTCTCAATACAAAACAGTCAGTGCACATCCACTCAGAGGGGCTTTTAGCTGTCCCTATCGGTGGTGGGTGGACAGGTTCTCTAAGGATGAAAAGAGCTTAAGTCAGGGATGCCAAAAACTCTTAAAACTCTGCACCTAAAAATGCCAACTGTAGCCCTTCTGGGAAGCAGTTCATTAGAGGATTACCAAGCTGAGAACTAGCTGAAGTCACAGAGGCAGATTTAACTTCTGTATTTTTTTCTGTAGCCCCTCATCCACCAGCCTTTTATCTTATCAGTATCCTTTCCCAGATAAACAATTAATACATGCAACAGGCAGACACAGGGATATTTTTATGCATTTTTAATGACAGAAACAAAAAACATCTAAAACCGCAGCTTCTGGAAGAACCACTTGTTCTTGCCGGTCTTGTACCTGGTGGGAAAACAAGGACACGGATGAGGAGGGAGACACACACTTCCCTTACGGGACTGAGCAACTCCACACCCAACACCCACCACCAAAGCCCAGCTTACCTCTCTTCAAACTTGACTTTGGCCTCCCGTCGGGCCTTGCGTTTCAGAGCAGGGTCTCTGAAAACGTCCTTGTTGACAACAGTTTTGTCCAAGGGGATGTCCACAGAGTACCTGGGGACAATGGTGGGGAGTGGGGAGTTGGACGTAGTCACCCCAGTCCTCCGAGGACAGTAGGTACCAGGTTCTGCCTCCACAGGGAAAACCACCAAAAGCTGTCCCAAAGTGCTGAGAGGCTTTGGAAATCTCTAACTCATTTACATAAATTTAAGCCACTGGAAAACTTCACATTTCACTATTTTCCCAACTTCTTATGTCTTAGCTATGAACCGTCACTGTATTATAATTAAAATATTTACATTTCGCCAAAGCCGGTTTGGCTCAGTGGTAGAGCGTCGGTCTGCGGACTGAAAGGTCCCAGGTTCGATTCCGGTCAGGGGCATGTATGTTGGTTGTGGGCACATCCCCGGTGGGGGGTGTGCAGGAGGCGGCTGGTCGATGTTTCTCTCATTGACGTTTCTGGCTCTCTATCTCTCTCCCTTCCTCTCTGTAAAAAATCAATAAAATATATTAAAAAAAATATATATATATACATTTTATTGATTTACAGAGAGGAAGGGAGAGTCAGAAACATTGATGAGAAATATCAATCAGCTGCCTCTTGCATATCCCCCATTGGGGATGTGCCGGCATCTAAGTACATGCCCTCGACTGGAATCGAACGTGGGATCCTTGAGTCTGAAGGCCAATGCTCTATCCACTGAGCCACACCGGTCAGGGCTACATTAGAACTTTACTTGGTTCCTAGTGGGCGGCTAGCTTTCTATTTAGAGCCATTGTATTTAGTTCTGTTCAAGTTCTGCCTATGCAGGGCGCCACCGTTATGACAGTGCAAGAGCTGGGAAATCTCACAGCTTTCCAGCACATGGCAGAGGGCTCTGCTCTCTCAGGCCAGCACATTGAGAGTGAACGAGTCCCAAGTAACGAACTTTAAGGCACATGCTACCAGGCTTGGCAACTCTTGTTCAGGTCTCTTTCAAACCTCGAGTTCCTTTATAACCCTTGTACCAGGATAGTAGATGCGCTGAACAATACTGCGAAAGGCCAGGAGACAGGGCCTGGCAGTCCAGTGAGACTGCTTTCATGGCCTATAACAACTGCATGTGAAATTCAAACGGCGGAGGAGGTGGGCAGGCCAGACCCCATGCCTGTGCTTACTGTGAGTGGAAACGAATCTTTACTCACCATTTTAGAATTTTCATGTACGAAAGACAAAGAGCCAGCTTGGAGATTTTAAATTAGGCTTGGTAAACCGAGGGAAACCACCAAAGGATATGACATGGAAATGGTCCCAAGGTGTATGAAAGGGGCAAACCACAGCCACTTTGTGGCAAATTGAAAATATCGTTTTCCGCAAATGGTTGCCTCCTTATTCAGCCAAGGCATAAAGGGTGAAGAGAAACGTAAAAAGTCACTTTTATTCCCATTCTTGAAATGCTCACCTTGTGGGCATGAGGTGATTGTAGTTATAAACTTTCACAAAAGACTTGATCTTTGACCTCTTGGCAATTTTCTTCTTGCCCATGGCAGCCGTCACTTTTCGGGGGTAGCGGTCAATTCCAGCCACCAGAGCATGGCTGTAGGGGCGGTCCGAGGTGCCATCGTCAATGTTCTAAATGAGCAAGGTTTACATTTGATGTCAACTTAAAGCCTACCTCGGCCCTGTGGCAGAGGCAGGCATGTACAGAAAGATCATCTCCATCCCACCATCGTACAGAGAAAAGCCACAAAAAGCAGACACACTAAGTGCTATGCCCAATGCTCATAGTAGTAAGGGTTAGGGGTATTCAAGCTTACCAGGAAGAATTTGGGCTCCTGGGAAGTAAAGAGGTTTTAAAATAAGAACAGTTATCATTTATGAATGAACCAGCCAAGCACTGGTTCTTAGAAGAGGCAGGCAGCCTAACTCCAGTCTCAAGAAGGTGGGGGGAGGGAAACCGGGATTCCAGTGCCCCCCAACCAGCTCAAGGCAGTGCTGAATGAGGTCAGACTTTAGGGACATTTCAAGAAGCTAAAAGATGTAGGCACCAGGCGAACAGCGAAGGGCTGCAATACGCTAAACGACCGTTTTCCTAGAAACAATTCCTCCTTTTACAGAATCCCAGTTGCAGCACTTACTAGCTGCTTGACCTCAGGTCAGTTACCGACCATCTCTAAGCCTTAGCAGTAGGAATAATCCTGTACGGTTACTGCAAGGATTGGGCACGAAAACATCTGTAAGGCAGTGTACCAGTCAGCAAACAAGTGTTCAATAAGCGTTGGCCATTGTTTATTATTATTATTATTATCTAAAGCCTCTTTGGTAGAGAGCGCGTTCTGTGCTAGGTGCCCAGTCAACTTGTTTTTCATTTTCCTCTTCCAAAAGCCCTCATGCATTCGCCCACACCCCTACACGCAATGCTCAATGGCTCAAGCCCCGAACTAGTTCGTGAATTCCAAGCTTGCGCTCCTCCGAAACCGGCCCAATACGGGGAAACACGGCGTACAGGCTCGCGAGGACGGTACCTTTACGATGACGGCTTTGCGTCCGGAGTAGCGTCCGGCCAGGACCAGCACCACCTTCCCGGGTTTCATAAACTTGCCCATTTCTGCGGAGAGAACAAGGGACCCGTCAGAAACTCGCAAGCCCAGGCTGCGGGCTCTCGGAACTTCAGGCTGCGTTTACTATCGTCCTGGCCCAGGCCGCCCACGGGCCCTGATCACGGGACAGAATCCGCTACGAAGCCGCCAGAGACAGAGGAATGGAAAGTGCTAGGAGCCACCCCACAACTCGACCCCCAGGCCGCGGATGGCGGTGGATTGGAAGACCCTGCCCAAGGCTCTACTCACCGAACGCAGCCACTCGGGCCTAGAGCAGAAAAGAAAGAACAGCACTTCCGCTAACCTTTCACCCCGGAGGTGGTGATCTCACTTCCGGTACCGCCCCTTCCGTCTCGTCCCGCCTCCTGCGAGGCCCTGGCGGAAGAAGCTTCTGTGGGGAAAGCAGGGCCTGGCTGCTTATTTATTCAAATCAAACTTTATTAGTATATCCCGCAGAAGAACAGAGCCAGGGAGTGCCGTCTATCGCCTACCCATGGAAGAGCAAGGAAGGCTTGTCTGCTCCAGCCTTTCGTAGTTCCTTTCTCTGACGCTAGGAGGGGACACAGTTTGAAATTTACCTTTTTTTTTTTTTTTTTTGCCTTGGAATAGTCAGGGAGCAAAATAAAACTTTTATTTCTTATTTTTTTAATGTCCACTGTGTTGAACTGCTGTTGATCGTAAGGAAGGGGAGACGAACATGAATCAAACAAGGATACTTGCCCCCGACATTGAGAGTGCCGTGATGTCACAGACATTACAAACTAAGCAGTGAGGGAAGTGAAAGACGATGATGGTGATAGCAGCTGTTTACTTTTTGCTAAATCGAATTAATCTATTTACGTATATTACCTCAGTTGAAGCTCATACCGATACTAGGAGATAAGTAGTATTATCTCCCTTCTGCAGTTGAAGAAACTGTATCTTAGAGAAATTAAGTAATTTGCCCCAAGTCCACAGCTAGTAAGTGGTGGAGCTGGGACACAGACTCTAGCAGTCCCGAGCCTATACTGTTTACCCTGTCACTGTACGGAGCACCAACTCTGTGCTAGGCAGTTTAGGTAAGTCCACAGCCTTTTTAATTCTCAATTCTGCATCTTGGCTATTTTTTCCCCATGTAGACATGAGGAAACTGAGATTCAGAGAGGATGTTACCTGAGATGGGATTCAAATTTAGGTTTGAATTCAAGTCTAGTTGGCTCTCAAACGGAATTATTTTCTTCACTTATTGGAAGTTTTAAAAAATACATATATATTTTTTTGATTTTAGAGAGGAAGGGAGAGGAGGGATCATTCATAGGCTGCCTCCTGCATGCCCTCTCCAGGGGATCAAGCCTGCAACCCTGACATGTGCCCTGACTGGTTATCGATCAGTGTGTGATTTGGTTCATAGGTTGATGCTTAATCACTGAGCCACACCCAGCCATACTGGAGAAATGTTTTTAGATGGTTCTTTAGGTGTCTTCCAAGTACAAAAGAAAGAGAAACCATCTTACAGTTTTTGCTTATCTGAACACTGAAAAATTTATAGGATTGGTCTTGGGCAAGATGTTGGACAAATCAGGGTTTCATCAATTTTTGAGGTTTTCCAGGGACCAGTTTTTTTTTTCTGCAGGTCTTAGGACCCCATTCTAATGGTTTATTCCCCTATGTACTTATATTTCTATATTCAACAAAAATATTTCCTACTTTAACTTGGAATATGACATTTTAGTGTTGGAAGGGACCTCAGAGATCTACTCTGGCCTCTAAAAAATGACAGTTCTTACAGCAGCAAAGTTCACAGAGCAAGGTCTCCTCATTCCCAATCCAGTGTTCTTCCCACTATAATACATTACCCTATCCATTTTTACTTCCATGGTCTTCTCCCAACCTCATCTGCTTCTGCCTCTTTTGCTGTTGCTCCCTTGGAAAATAGAAACCAAACCCTAAGATTTTATAATTGCCTGGACTCTTTTCACACTCTCCCAATTAAACTAATAACTAAACCCTGTGAATTTTGCCTTATGTCTTTTAAGTCTCTTTTTCTATCCTTTTCCACCTGCTCCCTAAATGATCCAGCCCCAGTTCTTTTTCTTCTCCAGTCCCTCTTCAAAATTTGTATGGGTCAGAATTGGTTGGGGTGCTTATTAAAGATACATCTCCAACTCAAAATTCAGGTCTGGAGTGGAGCCCTATGATGTTATAGATCTTGAGAAATTTCTCTAAATACAACTCTTGAAATACTTTGTTGGCTCTTTGTATCTAAGTTTGAACTCTCACTCCTTCCCTTCAGCATAAGTTCCTGACTCCTCCATATACTTCCTGTACCACTGGCGTTCCATCCAGCTCAACTACTCAAAAGTCCAACCTTTTATGATCCCTGGTACCTCAGTTTCGGGCACATCCCCAGTAGGAGGTGTGCAAGAGGCAGGTGATCGATGATTCTCTCTCATCGATGTTTCTCTCTATCCCTCTCTCTCTCTGTAAAAAAATCAATAAAAAATATATATATATAAAATATTTCCTCAGCATTTAGCCTGGTCCAGGCAGTTGGTAGGCACTCAATAATGAATAGAGAACCTTAGAAATCTTTGCAACAAACCTTGTATTGATAGAAGCCACAAGATACAATGAGGTAACATGATAAGAGTACAGACTATAGGATATGGATTCAGGCAACTCAAGTTCAAATCCTATGAACCAAGAGGTCTCTGGATGGATTCCTGGTCAGGGCACATGACCAAGTTACAGGCTAGTACCCCAGTAGGGGCATGCAAGAGGCAGCCGATTAATGATTCTTTCTCCTCATTGATGTTTCTCTTTAAAATTTAAAAAATTAGGATTAACACAAAAATATTTCCCACAAAGCCTTAATACAAAGTAGTTTTTGAGGATTAGAGAAAGATAATACTGGTGTGATACAGAGCTATGCCATATGACTATAGCAGTTATTACCCACCCTAAATAATATCCAAATAGGTTTAAAAGTGCCAATTCCAAAAGTGGCAGGTGTGGGGGTGTGACTGCTGGCCTGGTGAGATGGGATGATAAAGCCAAGGGCACTTTTTAGCGAATTTATTTACGGAGATGAAAACTACCATCAAACTGTGTTGATTCAGGGCAGAGGTTAGAGAAGAGGCAGAAAGGCCAGGAGCCAGACACAGCTTGAGGAAATGGTCTGGATCAGATAATGCCCAGATGGACTTATAAATCAATGCCAAGGGCTTTGAGGTCCTTACAGAGAATCTACACAAAATACTATTTTTTATTAGCAACCACAGATATATCATTTCCCACAACATTATACATTTATTCTGCTTTACACAGGAAAACTAATTCTAATGAATTTTCAACAATATATCTTAAATAATATGTTGCTGGAAAAATTAAGTTAAAATGCACTATGTAATAGTGCAGACATAAAGTGCAGCTGCCAATTTAATACATGAAACAATGCTGAATCAGTAGTGTTGGGAATTCATTTGGTTTTCTAGAAAGTGATACAATCTGCCCATCTTTGGTCAGTCCTGGAGAAGTAGGCAGGCTGAATGACATAGAACTAAAAAGGCTAAAATACTGAGGACCAAACTGGGCAGCTCTAGAGTCAACTTTACAATGAAGTGTTCAACAGCAATCTATCTTTACCGAACAAGGTGCTGGGGTAGGGCCAGCGCACTATCATCAAAAGGCATCCTTGATGTTCTTGAGCTGGCGCACAGCCAGGTCGACAGGGAGGCTGAACTTGAGGCTGCTGAGGCGACTGAGCAGGTTGAGGGCACTCTCAAAGCCTGTGTGTGCCATGTAGCTCCAGGGCTGGTAGTGGCGCTCGATGAGTGATGCCGACTTGCAGATAAGGTTCACCCAGGACACGAGACGCTGCTCATTCAGTGCCATGCACACCAAGGCCTTCAATTCTGAGTCCGCACTGCGCTTAAAAGGGTCATGCTCTGTCAGCACCATATGGATGGCTGTCAGTAGACTCTGTTTGGGAGTCATAGCAGTGCCTCCCATAGCTGGCAGGGCAAAGGACTGGGAGAGCTTCCGGGCTGGGGAGTCCACGTAAGCGCGGCCATTCTTCGCATGGTAGTACTTTACAAAGAGCTCCCAGGGATGCATGGCCTCGGGGGCCGAGGAGAAGGCTGGCAGCAAACAAGCAATGGGGGCCATGACGAGGCTCATCCCCGGTGACGAGGCATACAGTCCGTGGGCCAGCAGGTCCCTCATGGCCACCGTCAGCTCCTTCCGCACAGCTGTGGTCAGCTCGTCCTTGCCCCCCAGAGAGAGGTCCTGGAGGTTGGCAGAGGTGATGACGTGGCCGTAAGGCTGTTGCCTTAGGGCTAGCTGCTTCACTCTGTCTACTGACACCTCCAGCCTCTTCAGTAAGGCAGAGTAGTCCCTGTCAGCCTGGCCCGTTGGCCACAGGGTTTGTGGGATGTGGCCTGTGGCACAACCAAACTGGCTAACAGCAAAGATCTGGAGCACTGCCAGTGCTCGCCGCATCAGGTGCAGCCCCGTCTCCCGCACTTTCTTCACATCTTCCGCCTTCACTGTTTGGAAAACCCAACACTCATCAGTTAGGGCCACAATAGCTCAGAAGTACATTCAGTAAGTCACAAGTTGAGATCAAGTACTGCTTTGCTTTTGAGCTACATACACGTCCCACATGAAGCCAAGAGCCACCAAGGATGTCACTGGACTTCCTTTTTGAGTTAATAACAGCTATATTGAAATATAGTTCACATATCATACAATTCACCTATTTAAAGTGTACACTTCAGTGTCTTTTTTAGTATATTCAGAGAGTTGTATATCCATCATCCCCAAAATAAACCCTGTACCATTAGCATTTCCCATTACCCTTCTTCCCAACCTCATAAGCCCTCAGCAACTACTGATCTATTTTCTGTCTCTCTAGATCTACCTAATCCGGGAGCTGCACTTACGTTTGCTGTTTCTTGGAGGCAGTCTGCTGCTGCCCGTTCTGGTGGAGCCGTTCCCTGCCTTCCCACTGGCCTTGCACTCACAGTGTCCATTATCCGTCTGCAGTGGGTTTCCCACTTCATCTATAATTAGAAGTTACGAAGAGAAGACACCTTTTTAGCCCCTGATGGCAGACTTTCATAGGAAGAAAATTTACTAGTGCCTACTACATGACAAGACTTACAAATATATCTTACTTAATTGCATAAAACAGTGACTCGTATATAGTAGTTGGCTCAAAAAATATTTGCTGAGTGAAGAAAGAATGAATCATGTTATGGAGGAGAGTGGGACTTGAGAGGTTAGGAACCTGCTCAAGGGCACAAAGCCAGTGAATGGCAGAGTGAGATTTTAGCTATCTGGTTACTCACCATGCTAGCTCCCTTACTAAGGGATCAAACCCCTTAAAGAGTACATCAAGACTGGCACCTTTATAAAATAAAATAAAAATTAACAAAAAAAAAAAGACTGGCACCTTAAGGTATTAGTACTTATATATAATTATCACAACATCTGTCCATGCCACTCTGACCTTGGATGAAGTCGATAAACATCTCGAGATCTCGGATCTGAGTTTTCAGCTGCTCAACCAACTGTTCTTTCACTCGGGCTGGATTTACAATCTGAGCCACAGCTGCATCGACACGCTGCCGAAGCTCTTCAGTAGACAGTGAACTGATGTCCTCATTCAGATTCATGTCCAGTTTCTTTATTAATTCATCTATGATCACCTATCAAGACCACAAGCAATGAGCACACCCTTTGGAGTTTTCAGGGAGAAGGTTAGGAAGAAAGATAATTTTTACTGGTATACCTCCTACCCTTAAATAGAAATCAAAGACACAAAGAACGGTCAAATTCGTGAGAGAAATGATGTAATTGCTTATTAGGTAAGAATAGACCTTTACTTCTCTGGGAGTAATAAGAACCTTAGGTTCCTGTCTGACAGAAATGGCTCTTCTAATTACAAATGTTCTACTGGGCTAGGCAACTTTCACTTAGGTGACTAACAGTATGAATAATCCAAAGTGGCTGATGATCCAAAAAACCTCATACTTAGCTTCCCCCAATGTCTCCAAGAGAATACTGGTTTCTCTCAGTTTCTAGTCCTTCTCATCCCTTCTTGTTCTACTCTAAGTTACTAAAGAAAAATCTTTACAAAACATTAAGTTATATTACAGCCAAAATATCCTTCTGACAACATAGAAAAAATGAAATCTTGGTAATGCAACTCCAACCCAGGCAGAGAAATAGACACATCAAAAGGACAGACAAACATATAGGGGAGGCTGTATCTGTATTTCTACTAGCTGATTTACCTGCCTACCCAGAAGTTGTTTAAATAAATACAGCATTAAAGTCAGTTTGGATTCCTGGTATATTTATCAACTGATTATGAGAGGAAAAGCTAGTTTACATAGTATAAGCTGCCCAAATAGAACTATTTTAATGATCAAATGAAAGAGTTATTGTTATTACTACTACTATCTATACTAATAAAAGCCTAGGTGGCTCTCACATCCTTGTGCGACACCCTCACATCATCACAAGATGGCCAGCGGGGGAGGGCAGTTGGGGGTGATTGGGCCAGCAGGGAGCAGTTAGGAATCAATCAGACTGGCAGGGGAGTGGTTAGGAGCTAGCAGTCCTGGATTGTGAGAGGGATGTCCAGCAGTCGAACATCCCCTGAGGGGTCCCAGATTAGAGAGGGTGCAGGCTGGGCTGAGGGACACCCTCACCATCCTGTGCATGAATTTCATACACAGAGCCTCTAGTTATTAATAACAACAACAACAACAACAACAAAAAGGTAGAGCTCAATCATCATATTATAAAGCTTTGGAACTCTTGTTTCCTTGTGTAAATAAAGACTGTAATAGTAAAATAGTAAAATTTCCCTTTGATTTGGGCTAGCAAAGGGATTCTCAGTAAGGCCCAGGACAAACAAGCTAGGAGAGAATAAATGTTGGAAAGAATCAACACTGGAAGGAACAGGGTTTAGGTAGCGGTGGCATCTACTTACCCGCTGTCTTTCCAAGACCACAGACTGTGGTAGGGAGTCATAACTGCCCTCTCGATAGGCATACGTTTCCAGATCATCTAGCTGGGTTTTGAGCTGCAGTATCAGTTCCTTCTGTTTCTCCCTTTGGGTTTCCAGGCGCTCCCGTTTATTCTGTGCACTCTGAGATGAGAAAATACTTCGGTTTATTTCGTAAGAACAGGAAAATTCAGGGCACATCAAGAATCCTCTCAAACCAATAACGACTAGCAAAATATAAGACATTTCCAAATAATCCAAATGAAATACAGAATTTATAAGATAGGCTCAAAAATAAGACTAATTATTTCATACAGGGAAATTTCTTAAATGTTTTTTTCTTTAAGAAAATATTTGTCTCTCATTGGAAATAGGATATGAATACAATGGGCCTTTTGTTAAGATTGCTTTTATTTCTCTCTCAAAAGTCTAGTTAGGAGTGAGACACCTTATCTTAAGCCAAGACAGCCTCCCAGGAATTAGCCATGCCATCTCCCACAGCCAATTACCACAGAACAACTCCTGAATATTTTCTGCAGAGAATCTGGAGGTAAGGGTGTAGAGAAAGGCTTTACAACTCATAACCAGTTTTTTTTTTTTTAAGATTCAAAGTCCATTCAATGTTTTATAGACATCTACAAAACCAAAAGAATAAAAGCAGATATCTGGGGCAATAAAGAATCCAAAGCCAAGTAATGGGGGTTAGGAAGGTAATAGTGTTTATTTATTTTTTAAAATATATTTTATTGATTTTTTACAGAGAGGAAGGGAGAGGGATAGAGAGTTAGAAACATCGATCAGCTGCCTCCTGCACCCCGTACTGGGGATGTGCCAGCAACCAAGGCACATGACCTTGACTGGACTCTAACCTGGGATCCTTCAGTCCCCAGGCTGATGCTCTATCCACTGAGCCAAACCAGTTAGGGCGGTAATAGTGTTTTTTTTTTTTTTTTAAAGAATGTTTGGTAAGTTTCTCTGAGCAGTGATTCCCTTTCCCACTGTTGGCCACCAGGTAGTTTCCGCATTGAAATGATTATAATCCCTTCAAGGTGGCAAAATCTTGCCAATGTGTATATACTCAAACACTGGTTTTCCCAGTATACAAAACAAAGCAAACCCAGCACATTATGCAGGGATAAGACTGCATTTCAAACTAGAAGTCTATAGGATATTAAATTTAACCTTAAAATGGTACTTACCAAGCCCCCCAGAAGTAAGGTGTGAGGGAGGACAAATGAAAAACAAGTTAACTTTTTGTTCAAGTTATTGAAAAAGCAATGCTCTTGCTTTACCTTTATTCAACATGAAAGCAAGCCTTTTCTCAGGATACTCCCTCTGCAATCCTTTCTGAGTGTTTTCTTAGAATCCTTTTTTCTCTTCCAGTCTTCATGCAGGTTTAAGCTGTCCTTTAAAAGGTTTCCTTGATTTTCCCAGGCAGAACTGATCATTCTTTCCACCATAATTTGTATATACCTCTACTCTAGCTCATGCCACGTTATAATTATTTGTTTAGGATTCTGTCTCCCCAAGTCTATGAGCTCCTTACAGGCAAGGCCTAGCACAGTTCCTAGCACAGGGTAAACTCTCAATACAAATTGGTTTTATGTTATTGAATCACATACAGAATGGCATATTCCAAACACAATAGTCACCCCCTATCTGCAGTTTTGCTTTCTTTGATTTCAGTTACCTGCAGTTAACCAAGGTCCAAAAGTATTAAATAGAAAATTCCAGAAATAAGCCAATTCAAAAGTTTTAAACTGTGTACTCTTCTGAGTAGCATGATGAAATCCTGAGCCTGAATCTTCCCTTGTCCAGAGTATCTAGGTATCCATGCTGTATCTACTAACCACCCATCAGTCACTTAGTAATCATTTTGGTTATTTGGACTGTTGCAGTATCACAGTGCTTGTATTCAGGTAATCCTTACTTTACTTACTACAGGCCCAAAGTCATTCACAAAACTTTTATTACAGTATATTGTCATAATTGTTCTATTTCACTAGTAGTTATTGCTGTTAATCTCTTATTGTGCCTAATTGATAAATTAAACTTTATCATAGGTATGTTTATATAGGAAAAAACAATATGTATGTTCAGTATTATCTGAGGTATCAGACATCCACTGAGGGTCTTCAAACATATTTTCCTTGGACTAGTGTAATGAACTCGGACTAGAAGTTTAATCAGCTCAAGAAGCACAACCGGGTAAACTTTGTGTTTTCATGTACCCCAACTTTATGGAAACAAGGAAGAAAGAAACCAGCTATAAATCCTGACTCCGTTTTCATGAGAATGTTGAACTTTGCCATAATAGTTCTAGAATGTTTATTGGAATGTGAGCAAACAAATTTAAACTAGGAGCTCGGGTGCAAGGCAGGAAATAACAAAATATTTCCAGTGTGAAGTGAGATAAAATACTGGTTTAAAAAAATCAGGAACTGATAAGAAGTCAGTCATTTGGTTCACACTTATCCCTCACTACCTGCTCTTGTATCAATATTTGTACACAGATCACAGCTGTTAACTTTTGAACACTACATTTTTTTTTTTCAAAGTTGTTCTCTGTTTTTGAAAGCGAAAATGAACAACCAAAAGAGCAAATCCACAGAGAACCTTTGGTGCTCCTCACATCTGATCAGGGCCTGCCCACAGTGATTCTTTCCATCCTTTCTATTCCCTAAGAGTCTGGTCATTTGACGTGGCTGCTCCTTGTCTGTGCAAGGAGCTGTGGGTTATTTGGTAAGAAGGGTGGAACAGTAAACACAGGATTGTATTAGAAACAATCCAGATGAAAATAATTCAATATCTGTTACTGATAAACCTTGGTTAAAACCAATTTAAGTGGGAAGAAAGCACATGTGGGTTGTAGCTTTAAGAATAAAAAGGTAGCTGAGACCGGTTTGGCTCAATGGATAGAGCATCGGCTTGGGGATTGAAGGGTCCCAGGTTCGATTCTGGTCAAGGGCATGTACCTTGGTTGCAGGCATATCCCCAGTAGGGGGTGTGCAAGAGGCAGCTGATCGATGACTCATCGATGTTTCTAACTCTCTATCTCTCTCCCTTCCTCTCTGTACAAAATCAATAAAATATATTAAAAAAAAAAAAAAAGGAATAAAAAGATGGGCCCTAACTGGTTTGGCTCAGTGGATAGAGTGTCGGTCTGCTGACTCAAGGGTCCCAGGTTCGATTCCGGTCAAGGGCATGTACCTTGGTTGCAGGCACATCCCCATTTGGGGGTGTGCAAAAGGCAGCTGGTGGATGTTTCTCTCTCATCAGTGTTTCTAACTCTCTCTCCCTCTCCCTCTCTGTAAAAAAAAAAAAAGAAAAAGAAAAAATACATATAAAGAATAAAAAGGTAGTAGCCATAGCTGGTTTGGCTCAGTGAATATAGCCTTGGCTTGCTGACTGAAGAGTCCAGTTTCAATTCCAGCCCAGGGCACCTGCCCGAGGTTGTGGGTTCGACCCCCCAGTAGGGGCGTGCAGGAGGCAGCCATTCAATGATTCCCTCTCTTCATTGATGTTTCTGTCTCTCTCTCCTTTCCTCTCTGAAATCAATAATATATATGAAGAAAAGACAGCGAGTCTCTTTAACACCTCTCTACAACTGCGCATTTCCAGGGTTTCAAAGGCTGTAAGGGAACGTTCCCTCGGTGTGGTACACAGACTCTCATGACTTCTTGCGGTAGGCTAACCGAATCTTGTCCGTTACCAATGGAATCCCATTAGCCTATCTAGTTATTAAGCAGGATGGGGAAGGAGTTTTTAAAATACCAGCATTAGAAAATTCATATAATCAGGAGTTGTGTTCCTTTTGATGACTAAGATACCCTGTTGTTCACCAAAGCTCTCACTCGGCAAAGAGTCTCAAGATGAAAGGTTCTCTAGATTCCAGGAAACCACGGACAGGGAGAAGATCTAATTTCCCACGATTTCCAATTCACTCGCTCTTCACCCGCCAATTTCCCCCATCCCCAGGGTCGGGGCACTCTACCAGCAAATGCGCCAGGTGTTGGATAAGGTGACTGCAAGGTGAGCGGAAGTGGCATGGCTTTGGCTGGCGGCTCTGTGGCCCTCTCCAGACCCTCTTCGCCCTTCAGGCCATCACACCTTCGGTGGGCACCTCTCACCCCAGGTTCCCAGGCCTTCCTGTCCTCCTGTCCACACACCTGTCCCAAGCTTCATGTCCTCACCATGACAGGTCGGCTTCTCGCCACTGTCACCTCCATCGCCGTCAGCATCGCCACCCACCCACCCACCCACCCAAACCCTCCTGGTCCCCTTCCCCTCGGGGCCCGGTCCCCGCTGCTCACCTGGTCCTCGCCCCGTAGCCGGGGCCGGTCCCCCGGCAGCCCGTCGCCCTCGTCGCAGGCGGCGTCCTCGGGCTCCCCGTAGCCCAGGACGTGCGGGCAGCCGCGGAAGGCGAAGTCCTCGAGCTCGCGCAGGAGGCGCTGCTGCTCGGCCGGCGCCCCGCGCACCACCTGGCGCAGGCGGAACTGCACCTGCGCGAAGTGCGAGGACAGCGCGAGCAGCGCCGAGTCCAGCCGCCGCCGCTCGGCCCGCAGCCGCCGCAGCGTCCGGCCCGGAGAGTCGGGCGGGGAGCCCGGGGCCGCGCCGGGGTCCTCGGCAGCCGCCTCTTCCGAGAACGCAGTCGCCCCGGGCCCGGCCTCGGCCACCGCGCCCACCGGGGCCCAGCGCACCGCCTCGCACGGCGGCAGCGACTCCTCTTCCTCCTCCTCTTCCTCCTTCGCCTTCTTTGGTCCCGCGGCCGCCACCACCGTTACCGGCTCTGCGGCTACTTCGACGGCCGCCATCTTGCCGGAAAAGCCGCCGCTCACGTCAGCGGCGCTCCCTTGTTGCCATGGCTACGACGCACGGGCTGGGAAACCCGAGGGGCGGCGGGTGGGCGGGGCTTAGGCGACGCCGAGTCGGTCTCGGGGGGCGGGCCTTCCCCCGGGGATTTAGTTCGGACCTATACTTTATTTTTATTTTTATTGAGCGCCTTTTATGAATCTGGCGCCGCATGTACTAAGCGTCGGAGGAACAGGGGAATGGAGCAGAGGACGAGCCGTTCCGTGTGTGTGTGTCCGGGGTCGTGTGGCCCTTACCCTGGTCCCAGTCTCTTCCTAAATGTGTGGTCTCTGGGACCCGGAGCTGTGCAGGGCTGCAAGGCTGCAGGGGGTAGGCTTGTCCCCCGTCCCCCCGAGTGCGGCTCCCTTGTCAGGCCGCGATCCTCCTGCCTCTGAAACCTGCCACCCACCGACCATATAAGGAGCGGCAGCTGCTGGGGCGTCGCCAGCATCTAAAGATAGCGACCCCGGATCGGGCTCCCGACGCCGCCGCTGGGCTGCGGGAGCCGCCATGGCACGGTGAGTGTTTCCGGCCGCCCTTTCTTTCCCCTTTAGATTTATGGCCCCACATTTTCCTGGGGGGCGCTGCAGGTTCTGCGAGGCCCCATGGGAACCCCAGGCCTCAGGTCTCTGTAACATGGAGGGGGCAGGGCCATCTCCATGGCCTCCATAACTCCTTAGCTTTCACGCTCACACTACTTTGGATTCTCCCCCCAGATTCACCCTCGCCTCACCCTCACCACAGACACCCGTTTGCATTCCCTCCCATGGCACCTCCTCCTGTCTCATGTAGCTCCATTTTTGTCAGGGCGGTAGCGTCAAATATCCCTGTATGTCCCCCTTCTCCTGTCTTTCCCAAATGCTCTCAGTCTTCCCTCTCCCAGCCCTGCGAAGCCCCACCTCCACTCCTCTTCAGGCAGCATGCGCGGACCCTGTGGTACGACAGGCCCAGGTACGTGTTCATGGAGTTTTGTGTTGAGGACAGCACCGATGTCCACGTGCTCTTAGAAGACCACCGCATTGTGTTCAGGTAACGGCCTCCCGTTGGTAGAGTCTGGCTTCCTGGGAACCTTTCCCTCCTCTTCATTGCCCCCACACTCAGCCTCTTCAGCTGCTTTGTCTCCTCAGCTGCAAGAATGCCGACGGAGTGGAGATGTACAATGAGATTGAGTTCTATGCCAAGGTGAACTCCAAGGTAAGGATGGCGTGGGACAGTCAGGTTTGGGTGGGAAGGCTGCCTGGGACATGGGAGATTCACTCTACACCTCAGACTCTGGAAGAATGAGGCTCTCCGTGTGGTAGGACTCCCAGGATAAGCGCTCTGGCCGCTCCATTACTTGCTTCGTGAGGAAATGGAAGGAGAAAGTGGCCTGGCCTCGGCTCACCAAGGAGGATATCAAGGTAGGGAGTGGCCTGGTCTTTCTCCTGTGCGCTCAGTCTTTGTACCAGAGCAGGCACTCAAATTAGCTCTGGGAATCACCCTGCCTCCTTCCCCACCAACTGGCAGTCACTCACCAATCCTGCCTATTTGATTACGTGGATAGGATTGAATCCATTATTTCATATCTACCTGATCCAGGCTTCATCCGTCACTGGGTGAGATTTGTTGTGTATTTTTCAGCCCCACCCCCAATCTGTTTATAGCATCTCTCCCATTATGATCTGTCTAAACACATATTTGAGCCCTGGTGAGTGTGAGTGTTGTCCCATGCACCAAAAGGTTGCAGGTTCGATTTCCTGTCTTGATCCCCTGTAGGGTGCATGCAAGAAGCAGCCAATCAATGACTCTCTCTCTCCCTCCCTCTCTCCCTCTCTCTTTCTCTCCCTCTCCCTAAAATCAACAAAGACATATTAAAAAATAAATAAAACACATTTGACCTTGTCACTCCCCTAGTTAAGACCCTCCAGTGGCTTCTTTCTCCTAAAGGTGGTAATTTGGCCACTTATTGGTTGGATCTGGCTCTCAGGTTTTTTTGAGCAGTCTTCACAGTGTTAAAAAAATTTTCCATTGCCTACTGATATTTAGCAGTTTTTAAAAATATATATTTTATTGATTTTTCACAGAATGGAAGGGAGAGGGACAGAGAGCTAGAAACATTGACCAGCTGCTTCCCCGCCCCACTGGGGATGTGCCTGAAACCAAGGTACATGCCCCTGATCGGAATTGAACCTGGGACCTTTCAGTCCACAGGCCGACGCTCCACCCACTGAGCCAAACCGGTTTCGGCTGATATTTAGAAGTTTTGACTAGTTGGTGACATATAAAAATGTGGTGAATTCACCTATAAATCCAGATTAGCTTCTCTCAAAAAATGGTGATTTTGGCCACACTTGTCTAAAATTCCCAACTGCCTAGAGTTGGAGTTTTCCCACCCCTTTTCAATTTTTTTAATTGACTTTAGAGAGAGGAAGGGAGAGAGAGAGAGAGAAATATTAATGATGAAAGAGAATCATTGATTGACTGCCCCCTTATGTGCCCTGACTGGGAATCAAACCATGACTCCTGGTTCATAGGTCGATGTTCAACCACTGAGCAACACCAGCTGGTTTCACTTGCTTCTTGATGGCTGGGACTATGTATTAAATATATATATATTTTTTTAATATATATTTTATTGATTTTTTAAAAATATATTTTATTGATTTTTTCACAGAGAGGAAGAGAGAGGGATAGAGAGTTAGAAACATCGATGAGAGAGAATCATCGATCAGCTGCCTCCTGCACACCCCCCACCGGGGATGTGCCCGCAACCAAGGTACATGCCCTTGCCCAGAATCGAACCCGGGACCTTTCAGTCCACAGGCCGACGCTCTATCCACTGAGCCAAACCGGTCCCGGCTATTTTATTGATTTTTTACAGAGAGGAAGGGAGAGAGATAGAGAGCTAGAAACGTCGATGAGAAACATCGACCAGCTGCCTCCTGCACGCCCCCTACCGGGGATGTGCCTGCAACCAACGTACATGGCCCTGACCGGAATCGAACCTGGGACCTTTCAGTCTGCAGACCGACGCTCTACCACTGAGCCAAACCGGTTTCGCCTATGTATTAAATATTTTTATAATTCCACTGCCAAGTCTCAGAGTCTCACCCATAGTATCTGTTCAATAAATATCTGCTAAATGAATTAGTAAATCAGTGGGACACGGGCCTTGAAGGGCTGTCCCTGTCTTTCTTGGTTGATTCTATGATACTTTATGACACAGTTTATATTTCCATATGTGTTATCTTCTCAGTCAATCTGCTCTTGGAGGGCAGAATTTCTATACTTTTCCATACCCTAAACATTGTGTTTAATGGGCTCTTGGGAAGTCTTTATAGATGATGTGGCAGCTTGGAGATGGGGCTAAAGGGGACTGTTGGAAAACTACTCCCTTTGACCTTCCCCAACCACACTTTTCTGTGCACTTCTGCTGCCCTCTTGGCCCGTGACTCTCCGCGCTTCCTCTTTCAGCCAGTGTGGTTGTCTGTGGACTTTGATAACTGGAGAGACTGGGAAGGGGATGAAGAGGTGGAGCTGGCTCAGGTGGAACATTATGCAGAGGTAATGTCATTTTCTGCCCATCTGGATCATTCTCTGAGTCTCTGCATACATTTCTCTGGAGAATTGTCATCAGGGCTAAGCAGAGATATATGAGCTCCTTAGGCTGGCTGCTCATTGGTGCTGATATTCTTTATGTATTTTGTGCAATGTTTAGTAGGGATGGGAAAAATGAATATTCTATTTGTAGAGTAGAGCCTGTGCTCTGAAGAAATTTGGTAGAACCTTTTCCTACTTTTCTGTAATTTTTGTTCTTTTTCTTTTATGTGTGTGTGTGTGTGTGTGTGTGTGTGTGTGCGCGCGTGTGTGTGTGTGTGCGTGTGTGTGTGTGTGTGTGTGTGTGTGTGTGTGTGTGTTTTCTTGAACCAGATAACTTTATCGGAAGCTCAAACTAAGTAGCATAAGATTCAAATTTAAAAAGTTACTATTTTCACCCTGGCGAGTGTTTCTAAATGGTTAGAGCAGTCGTCGGCAAACTCATTAGTCAACAGAGCCAAATATCAACAGTACAACGATTGAAATTTATTTTGAGAGCCAAAAACTGACTTCTGCATATGGGCCACAAAGTTTCAATCGCACTGTATGTGTGTGCCTGCACGTGATATTTTGTGGAAGAGCCACACTCAAGGGGCCAAAGAGCCACAGTTTGCGACCACAGGGTTAGAGCATTCGCCCAAGCAGGAAGGGTAGAAGGTTTGATTCCTAGGTTACAGGTTGGGGCGAGTGCATGAGGAAGGCAACCAGTCGATTTCTCCCTCTCTTCCTCACTCTCTCTGAAAAGTGATGAGAAAAATATCCTTATTGAGGATTAGCAAAAGATAAAAATAAATCACTATTTCCCAATAAATTATTTGGTTTCAGAATTTCCGTACTAGTTATTCAAGTTGCAAAAAACACTAGCAGACCCTGACCTGGATTAGTAAGGAGGGTGCTCTGTGTGTTTTTAAAGTTCTTTTTAAAAAGGGGATCGATGTACTTTTCTCCAGTTCATTCCACTGATATGTTAGGGGCTTTACATAGGGCAGTTGTTTGGCTGGACATTCTCCTGTGGCCCGTTAGTATGCAGGTTGCTCTTCTCTCTTGTGACTACTTTTCTCTTCCCTCTAGCTTTTGCAGAAGGTCAGCACCAAGAGACCTCCCCCTGCCATGGACGATCTGGATGTAAGTAAAGCCTGCCCCCTCAACTCTTCAGTTTCCTTTTTGCTCTTAAAAATAAGATACAATACTAGAAAGCTCCTCTCTGGGTCCCTAGCACATAGCACTTCTCAGTGCATGTTAGCCAAATTTGATTTTTTTTTAAAGCCAAATTTGAATTTGACAAAGAAGAGTGAATGTTCTTCTCTAGGCTTAAGAAAACCCCAGTAAGTGCTCTCCTTCATGGGAGCACACCCGTACCTTTCCCATCCCCTTCCCAGGCATGTTATCTTACCTTTCTCTTTCTCCTAAGCTTCAAGGGCCCTTCTTTGCCTCCGTAACTTTTTTCTTAAACCCATTTCTTCTATGGCATACTTCTCTTACCTCTGTGGCTTTCTAAATAAACTTTTGCTTAAAAGAAGACACAAAAAACAAAACACCAAACCCAGCAAGACCCTCTTCACTTCTGTGTCTCCCTCTGATTCTGCATCCTAGAGCAGTGCTGGCCCTGTTGACTATCCTTACAGTTGTAAGGAGCAGTAGCATTAATTGAAATTCTGAAACTAAATGATACACGACACTGTGCTGTTTATTCAGTACTAGTGGTTTATTATTCCAAAGTTTAAATCCTTCCATAGTAACCTCCCAAGAACTTGTGTGACTCAGAAAATCACAAAAGAAAACTTGGAGCGCAGACGGGAGTGAGCGGTGTTTTGTGAACACAAATGTTCACTCTTTCCTTAGTCTGCAGGTAACTTTTGTCTTTTTCTTTTTTTCTATTATAGGATGATTCTGACAGTGCCGAGGCAACAAGTAGTTAACTTCTGCACAGTAGACCTGTGGAGGAGGCTGTGGCTGTCTGCCAGTCATTCTGACAAGCTAGGGCCTGGGCCTTTGTCCAGCTGTTTGGCTGAGCACCAAGGTCCTCTGGGGTCTCAGATCTATCCTTGAAGCTCTTCATTGTCCTCCTTCATGCTTTATTTCTTTTCCCTAGCTGCTACATCAGATGGCAGAATAGCAGAGGAGTAAACTGGTGTGACTGCTGACTTCCTACCAACTAGCTATAATCTCTATGTTTGGGCCACTCATCGGACCCTCGAGTATGTGTGTACATGGTAGAGTAATATCCAAAGAAGTAGCCTATGGATTATAATAAATCTCTAGGAACTGGTTGATCTCTTTTGTGCTTGTACTTCTTCCTCCTGGAGGCAAGCCTCTTCTCCCTCTATAGTTACTCTTCAGAGGAGGAGTGGGTGTCAGAGTCCTGGCCCGCATCACTGAGGTTGAAAGAAGAAATGTGTTGGGAGCAGGCTGTAACCAGGCTAGGGGACTTCCCCATGCACAGATCTGTGCTCTGATTTCTCAGAGCAGAAACCAGCCTTTCACTATATGGCGAATACTGCCACTCTTAGAATCAGCCAGAAACCTACCTCAGCTTCCTGTACACTCCAGAAATCTCTCTATACTTTTATTTTTTTAAATTTTATTTATTTATTTTTAAATAGATTTTATTGATTTTTTTACAGAGAGGAAGAGAGAGGGATAGAGAACTAGAAACATCGATGAGAGAGAAACATTGACCATCCCCTACTGGGGATGTGCCCGCAACCAAGGCTCATGCCCCCGACCGTAATCGAACCCAGGACCTTTCAGTCCGCAGACCGATGCTCTACCACTGAACCAAATCAGCTTTGGCAATCTCTCTAAACTTTTAAAGCTGACATTAGTTCTTAAACTAAAAACAAAACAATTGCTAATACATAGTTATATTTGTATTATGTTCTACAGTTTACTATTAGCTCATTAAATAATTAGGTATTTTCTTCATAGATCATCAATCAGGTAACAGTAAGGAGCAAAGTTGTGACTTGAATTTGTATAGCATGTCCTCTTATCCACATTTCTGAAAATCAACAACAAAAAATGGACATCAAAACTCATTTTGACAGCAAAACGTGACCTAAACTGATGTGAGGCTGTTTATAGTGTTTTTTCCATTTAGTATATTTATTTCTCAGCAAACATATTAATGAGTTTGATTACCTGATGTTGCTCTTGAGTTCCAAATGGAGCGTGTTAGGTAACAACACACAGAGTATGCTCTTCATTACTGCCTAAAATCTGAAAGATCCTAAATTCTGAAACATCTGGAGTCTTCAGGTTTTTTATTAGCCGATTGGAAAGAGCAGAAGGCAAGTTAACTCTAATTTTTAAGCGGTTAAAGTCTTAAGGCACTGTCCAGCATTAGTCACATGTGGTACTTGAAATATGGCTAGTCCGAACTGAGATATGAGTGTAAAATACACACCGATAATTTTATACGGGGGGAAAAACCCTTATTTTTATATGCCTACTACATGATGAAAGTATTATGGGTATGCTGATTTAAGTAAAATATTAACAAATGTGGCTTGCATTTTTCTATTGGGCACGCTGTCGTGCATGCAAGCCCATACCATGCCCACCTATGCACATCCTTGGAGCCCGACCGGCCAAACTAAGTGCCTTGACAAGTTCAGGTCACAGTTTTGTCCTCTGGTCCTTTACCAAGTCAACACCGTTGCTAAACTGCCCAGAACGCCTGCACATCGCGTTTTCAAACAAGTTTGTCCCAACTACATCCCATTCCTTGCTTTCCCCGCTTCTGCGCGGAGACGCGTTCGTGCTGAGGATTGTCCTGCGCGGGCTTCCGTCCGCCCCCAGCCCAGGCGCTCCGGCGCGTGGGTCCCGCCTCCGGGGACCGCGGCGGCGATGGCGTTCCGGTGTCAGCGCGACAGCTACGCCCGGGAGGTGCGGCCGCTGGGCGGGCAGATGGGGCGCTGCGGGGAGAGGGCGAGCCGAGCTAGATTCCGTTTGTTCTCCGTCCCTCTCTGTTCAGTTCACCACCACCGTGGTCTCCTGCCGCCCCGCGGAGCTGCAGACCGAAGGGAGCAAAGGCCAAAAGGAAGTGCTGAGCGGCTTCCAGGTGGTGCTGGAGGACACGCTGCTTTTCCCCGAGGGCGGGGGACAGGTACCAGACCCGACCTCCCCTCCGTCCCCCTCCCCCGGAGCCCCTATTTCCCCACTGCCGGGGTCCCTGTCCCCCACTGCCGCCCATCTGTATGTCTCTTCCCCAGCCTGATGACCATGGCACGATCAATGGCATCTCCGTGCTGAGAGTGACCCGCCGCGGGGCCGAGGCCGATCATTTCACACAGACGCCCTTGGCCCCGGGCACTGAGGTCCACGTCCAGGTGGACTGGGAGCGGAGGTTTGACCACATGCAGCAGCATTCAGGTAGGTGGGGATCTGTCGGAGGGGCAATTGCTTTGTATGGAGATGCTCCGTATGTACGGGGATGCCACGATGAGTCAGATAGGGTTTGGGTTCTCTAGGAGAGAGAGGTACCTTTTGGAAAAGTCAGACGAATGCAGAATCAGCTCCGATGGAGGCAGGTTATGATAGATGTTACAAAAGCAATATGAGCAATTAAAAGTATTAGGATATGGTCCTAGCCAGGAGGTTCAATTGGTAGAGCATTGCCCCAACACACCAAGGTTGTAGGTTCAATTTTCCTGGCAAGGGCACATATTAGAAACAGCTAATGAATGCATAAATAAATGGAACAACAGATGGGTGTGTTTTTAAAAAAAAAAATATATTTTTTTTACAGAGAGGAAAAGTAGAGGGATAGAGAGTTAGAAACATTGATCAGCTGTCTCCTGCACACCTCCTTTTGGGGATGTGTTTGAAACCAAGATACATGCCCTTGACTGGAAATGAACTTGGGGCCTTTCAGTCCACAGGCCAATGCTTTATCCACTGAGCCAAACTGGTTAGGGCTAAATTGATGTTTGTTTGTGGTGCCCCCCCCCCCCCAATCTTTCCTCATTCCTCTCTCTCTTAAATCAACCAATGAAAGTTAAAAGAAAAGTATTAGAATAACTCCTGGATTTGAGTGTTACCAACTTCCCATCTTAGTATCATTATCTGGATGTGCCATAAACTTTTAAACACAGAACATCTAGAATGGTATTTTTTTTTTTTTTTTAAAAACACCTTGGCTGGTGTGGCTCAGTTGGTGGAGTGTTGTCCAGTGCCATGAAAGGTCATGGGTTAGATTCCCAGTCAGGGTACATGTCCACATTGTGGGCTTGGTTTCTGGTCGGGATGTGTTGTGTTGGGGAGGCAACCAATTGATATGTCTCCCCCCCCCCCCCCCCCCCCCCCGCTCCTTTCCTCTCTCTCTTACATCAATAAAAACATTTTTTAAAAAAGTCACCCATTTCCCCGGACGTGGCCTTCCCTTGGCATTCTCTGTATTCAGTGCATGGCATCAGCACCCACCTAAGTGCTGAAATCCTGGAAGTTAGTACAGACACTTTGGGGATAGCGAGTCATTCATTAAGTCCTGTCGGTTTGATTTCTAAATGCTTCTCTATTTCCTCCCACTGTCGGTGTGATCATCTTAGACCCAGCGCTCCTTGTCTTTCCGCAGACCTCTGTAATAGCCTCCCGGCTACTGTCTCCACGTACAGTCTTGCTTCTTGCAGCCTATTCTTCGAAGAGCAGCCAGAATAATCTTTTAAAAATTAAGATCTGATCATGTCACTCTCCTGCTTAACCCTCTTCAAAAGCTTCCTGTTGCTCATGATAGAACTATACTTGCCATGGCCCCCATGCCCTACCTGAGCTGGTGCTTGCCTGCTGCTCCAGCCTCAGCTGCTCTCCCTCCCTCTTGCTGTTGGCATTCTGGCCATGCTGGCCTTCCTCTCGATTCCTTGAACACATCCTGCTTCTTTCCTCCTTCAAGTTAATTGCCTTCTATTCCTAATTGCCTTCACAGTTAGTTCCTTCTATTCCTCCTCCTCCTCCTCCTCCTCCTCCTCCTGTCACCAATCAGAGATAATGCTATATCTCTAACATCAAGCCCTGTGCTTGCATGCGGTAGGTACTTGATAAATATTTGTTGAGCGAATGTGCCACATTAGAACTTCAGTTCAAATCCTGCCTCTGAGAAGCTACATTGCTTTGGCGAGTTACTTGACATTTCTAGGCCTCCGTGTCCCTCATTTGTGAAATGGCATCGTAAAGCCTCTTACAGAATTCTTGTGAGGATATTCACTAAAGTATCTCAAGAATATTACCCAGTGCCCAACAGGTCTTCAACAAGGAAACTTTCTATGATGACATGGGAGTATGTGGCTGTCTGGGCTTCTCATTCTTCTGTCTCTTATTCTCTCTTTATCAGGGCAGCATCTCATCACAGCAGTTGCTGATCATCTGTTTGGGCTGAAAACAACGTCCTGGTGAGGAGGAGGCATAAGAGTAACTGTAGAGCATGACTCGTGACTCCCAGCTCCTTTCCCAGGCATGGGTCTGGGCGCAGGAGGCTAAGAGAAAGAGCAGCGTTTCAAAATCTGCTGGGTTCCCTGGTCCCCTTGAGGGTGGGGGCGGATGACCTTGTGTTCCTTAGGGAAAGCGTTAGGATGAGAGGAGAGGTATCTGCCTTTGCTTCGGAAAGAACTTAGAGTTTTGAGCCTAAAGACCTACGCGGTGTGGATCTATGTGACCTTGATCACATTCGTTACTACCCCTCCGCTGTAAGATGGAAATGACAGTCCCCACCGTGCAGGATTTTTGTGAGGATTAAAGAAGATAATTTATGTGGACATTCTTTGTAAACTGTAAACTTTCTTACATCGTTGCTGCTGTTGTTATCAGCATCCTCCTCTACTTCTGACAGGGAGTTAGGGCGACTCCGGAGTGTGATTGAGCTGGACAGCCCCTCCGTGACCGTAGAGCAAGTAGCTGCCATCGAGCAGAGTGTCAACGAAAAAATCAGAGATCGGCTGCCCGTGAATGTGCGAGAACTGAGCCTCGATGACCCTGAGGTGGAGCAGGTGCGGGGAGAGCCCGTGGGGCGGCTTCTGTAGAACGGCCCTCTGGGGGCTCCTCACCAAAATTCAGACAGCCCTTCTCCCTCCTGTGTCCTAGGTGCGGGGCCGGGGCTTGCCAGATGACCATGCTGGGCCCATTCGAGTTGTTACCATCAAGGATGTTGATTCCAACATGTGCTGTGGGACCCACGTGAGCAATCTCAGTGACCTGCAGGTAGGTGAGGAAGGGCTTCTGAAGGGTTAGGAGAGAGGGTGTCAGGAGTTCGGGATCACAACAGGGTTGGGAGTGGTAGGGGGGTACAATTGGGGAGTCCTGAGCAAAATCACTTTTATTGCTTCTCAACTGAGGGGGAGGTCTAGGTGTCTCCTACTCTTGTGTCCAGCACCCACTGTCTATTCTGCATGTGTGTGTGTGTGTGTTTACCTCCTTGCCTCATGTAGGTCATTAAAATTCTGGGCACCGAGAAGGGGAAAAAGAACAAAACCAACCTGATATTTCTGGCTGGGAACCGTGTGCTGAAGTGGATGGAGAGAAGCTATGGCGCTGAAAAGGCACTGACCGCGCTGCTGAAGTACGCCCCCTTCTGTTGTCTCCTGTTTCTCAGGACCTGGACGCCCGGGGCTTAGCTTTCCTGCCTGGGAGGCAGACAGAATAATCTGTCTCTGGGCAGTAAGATGTGACCGTAAATGACAAAGTGCAGTGGACGAACGCCCACCATCAAAAGCAGTTGGGGAGCGGGGCAGATCTCCACGGACCTTTCCCTTGCAGGTGTGGTGCAGAGGACCACGTGGAAGCCGTGAGAAAGCTGCAGAACTCCACCAAGCTCCTGCAGAAGGTGGTTGTTCCGCGGCTCCGCCAGATGTGTAGTTTGCCAGAGGGGGAGAATGAAGTGGAGGGAAGGCGGTGCTGTCTTGGGGTCCTTCCCACCTCCCTGCTCAGTGCTGGCATCCATTTCAGAACAACCTGAATCTGCTGAGAGACCTGGCTGTGCACATTGCCCGCGGCCTCAGGAACAGCCCGGACTGCGGAGGTGTGGTCACATTGCACAGGTGAGCGACAGGCAGGGGGCGTGAGGCTTTGGGGCTCATTCTCTCCCCTGTATGCAGTGCACAGTGGGTGGCGGGCCACTCCCTGGTGTTCTCAGGCTGGGGAGACCCTAAGAAATGTGTTACCTACCGGATAAGCATCTTTCTTTTTTAATCCTCACTTGAGGATATTTTTTTCATTGCATTTTAGAGAGAGTGGAAGGGAGGAAGGGAGGGAGGAGGGAGAGAGAGAGAGAGACATCAATGTGAGAGAGAACAATGTGAGAGAGACACATCCACTGGTTGCCTTCCACACACGCTGCCACCTCAGGTGGCGAGCAAACCTGAATGAATTTCTGTCCCAGGTGCATGCCCTTCTCTCTAACTTTCATTGGCACTTTCCCCGTCTCACAGGTCTTCACTTAACCTGGGTGAATCCTATTAAAGGGAGACAGAAATAAAGGCAGAGCTCGTTAGGAACTGCTGATGCTGAGAAGGACGTCCTGCTGGCCCTCCCCACCTCTCTTTCTCTTTGCTGAGGGGCCTGGGACTTCGCACAAACAGGCAGCAGGGAGGCCAGCCTCTCAGGAGGAGGTGGGCATCCCGTGGTTTCCCAGCTCCCCCCAACCTGGATCTCACCTCTGTGCCTTTTTGTTGTAGGAAGGAGGGCGATTCTGAGTTCATGAATATCATTGCCAACGAGATTGGGTCAGAGGTAAGAGATGCACCCTGGGGGAAGAGAAACCTAAATGAGGGGCGTTAGTTCAGCTGAAGTCCTTCCACATGAGCACGTGAAGAGTAGGGGACAGAAATTCATTCAGTACAGTTTTCTTTTTTTGTATTAATTCTCACACAAGGATATTTTTCCCATTGATTTTTTTTTTTTTTTTTTTTTTTTTTTTTTTTTTTTTTTTTTTTTAGAGAGTAGAAGGGAGATAGGTAGGGGGAGAGGGAGAGAAACATGTGAAAGAGACACATGAATCAGTTGCTTTCACACCCCTGATGGCCTGGGGTCCAAACCTGCCGCCCAAATATGTGCCCTTAACTGGGAGTCGAACCGGTAACCTTTTGGTGCCTGGGACGCTGCTCAGTGCACCGAACCACACCGCCGGGTAGCTTTCTCTCTTCTTAATGTTGAACCTGAGTTCTTGTGGTCACTCTTAACAAGTTTCCTAGCTCTGGTGGGCCAGAGTGCATTATCATTCCTTCAGAGCATCACTTGTGTTTTAGAGGAAAAAAAAAATTTTTTTTTAGTTGAGGTACGATGTGTCTTTTTAAGGTGTATCGCATGTTGATTTGCAATATGATCTTTGACTCTGTTCTGGAGACTGAGGAGAGTGCACAGTACAGAGGGGTTGACCCCACATCCTCAGCATCAGGGTTTATCCCCTGTCTTACCTCCTAGGACACCCTCCTGCTCCTAACTGTGGGCGACGAGAAAGGCGCTGGGCTCTTCTTACTGGCAGGGCCAGCTGAGGCCGTGGAGACCCTGGGACCCAGGTACCCTTTCGTAGGCTGCTTTGCATGGGAGTAGGAGGTGAAGGTGGGGGGGAGAGAGCCCACTACTGATGACAGAGGCCACCACTTCTGCAATCTCATTTTGATTCACATCATAGACCTGTGATGTGGGCTGAAATCATTAAGGCCAACCACCATTCCCAGTTTCCTGGGTGAGGGACGGCACACTCTGTGCCTGGGATCTCACAAAGTAGCGGCAGAACTGAGACTTGAACCCAGGTCTTTTGGCTCTAAATCCATGTGTTTGGTTTTTTCTTTTAGACATTGAGATTCACAGGGGACACATGAATGCAGCTGCCGGGCTGTCAGTAGACAGAGGAAGCAGATGCCTAAGGCACCAGCAGAGGAGAGGCACATATTCTTTGGGGGGGGGGGGGGGGGCGGAGATTAGGATTTTGAAATAAAATTTAAAAAGGCATTGATGTAATTGTTAAGGAAAAGTTAGAACTAGTGTACATTCACTCTGCTCCCTGGAGGTTGCCATAATCTGTCTAGGCCACTTCTAGATACTTCTGTTGTTGCCAGTTATTCCCTCTTACAGTAAACGTGGTGCACAGTACATGTGCAAGTATTTTCAAGAAGGATTTCTAGAAGCCATTTCCTCTTCCTCTGCCTCGCCCCCAGCCCGCGGGGAAAGACTCAGGGCTGCTCTTGGCTTTTCTGTGGCTTTCCCCCTGAGGACCACCTTCCCCTGATGCATCTCTGCTCCCCAGGGTGGCTGAGGTGCTGGAAGGCAAAGGGGCAGGGAAGAAAGGCCGCTTTCAGGGGAAGGCCTCCAAGATGAGCCGGCGGGCAGAGGCGCAGGCGCTTCTCCGGGACTACGTGGGCACGCCGAGCGCTGAGGAGTGAGGACTGCACCTCCCTGCGGCTCCCGCCACTGAGAACGGCCCCCGTGTCCACAGAAGGAGTCTCTCGGGCAATAAAATGGATTTTGTGTTTGTGATTGTGGTACCATGTATTACTAATTTATATAGTGAACTCCAGTGTGCTTAAGCAATGAGTATCTGGGAACAAACGGGTCCCCAGTTTGGCTCCTTAGATACAGCCTCTGTGAATGAGTCTTATGGGGTGAGGTGCACTGATTTACTGAAATTCTGTTGCACCTTTTCTTCACGTAGAAACACAGTTGCCACAGGAGCGTGCAAGTCAGGTGAATGAGTCTGGGCCTGACTCGCACGCTCCTTTGAATACACTGAAGAAAATTCTGGTCTGTCTCTTGCCTTTTCAACCTCCAGTTGCCTCACTGAGAACGTGGCAGGAGGGGCAGTAGCTAGTCCTCTGGGGTGCCGTGAAGTAACTTTCAACTGTGAGGGCTCAAGAAAATGCTCGATTCCCTAGTGACCTAAGAACAGAATTTTTCATTACCTGATGTTCTGTCCTCTTTCCCTTCAGTTGAGAGTTGATGATAATTGCAGGGGCCGCTGCCCTACTGTCGCCCTTGGTAAGCTGTGTCCCCGGGCAGTGCTGCTGAGGACATGGGTGCGGCCATTCGTGTGCTCCCCTGAGTTACTTAGGAGCTATGACTGGCCTAAGGGAGGCTTCTTTTGAGCCCAGCAGCCACCGGCAAATCGCTTTCATTTAGATGTTCATCTTGTTCACACAAGGACTTTATTCAGGGAAAATGCTCATAGGAGGGAATCCTGCCGCTGTTCCTGCTGGTGGAACAGGCAGGCAGGGATCATGGCTTCATAGAATTTTGCTGGGAGAAATAATGGAAACTTTCATGAAGTTTTACAAGTGGAAGCACAATATCGAAGTGGATGAAAGCTGCTCCGATCTATTATAGTTGGAACCGGGAGTGGAGGCGTGGAGCTCAGCAAGCCCTTAGGAAGGCCCAGAGTGCCCCTGGAGCATAGACACCATGTGCCAAATTCCCATCTCTGACATGTCAGGACGATTCTCTAACCAACTAAGCTAGCCAGGGCAGTGTTCCACTCCACTTAAAATGCAGACAGACCCTCTCCAAACAGCCCCTGAATTTTTTTCCTCAGAGGGCATGTCAGTAACGATATTTGGAGTTGGCCTTCAAACTTATCGTTGAATCTTGGGTCTCCCGATGAAGTTATGTGATCACAGGTACATGTGATATACCTGTAGAAAGTTCCAGCTACTGTGAATAAGAATGTAATCTGCAAAACCAGGAAATCCAATGGATAATCCTTTCAGTCTTAGAAATGTAAAGTAAGAGGCATTTATTCCCAAGTTACCTTCCATTGAAACTGGCAATTTTAGAAGCTGTCTAGCACCGATTCCCAATTTTCCAACTAGGTTTCAGCTCTTTCTAGGGCTATCCATCCTATGTAAGGTCATAGAATCAAAACAGAATTCTAGGCCTGGAAGGAATCTTAAGAGATTGACAACCTGATCTGACAAGTGAGGAAATACACTTTTTTTTTTTCTTTACTGCAGTAAAATGAACAACATAAAATTTACAATTTTCACCATTAAAGGAGATAAACTTAAGTGACTTTTCCAAAGGTGTCTCTTCCCATTGCAGAGCACTGCCTCAAAACTCAGGGTTTCATAACACAGGTGACCTCGCATCTGACTTGCAAATAATGCACCGACTTCAGTTACATGTGAGTAATTGAAACAGCTGAGTCTAGAACTAGCGGGTTTGGCTCAGTGGGTAAAACATCGGCCTGTGGACTGAAGGGTCCTGGTTTCAATTCCGGTCAAGAGCACATACCTTGGTTGCAGACTCGATCCCCAGCCCTGGTCGGGGCACGTACAGGAGGCAACAATCCATGTGTCTCTCTCACATCGATGTCTCTCTCTCTGTTTCTCCCCCTCCCATCCACTCTCTCTGAAAAATCAATGGAAAAATACCCTCTGGTGAGGATTAACAAAAAACAAACAGCTGAGTCTATGGATGAGCCCAAGTCTGACAATGCCGTGTACAATGATAAACATCTAGCCCCTCGTCAGGGAAAAAGCTCTCTGTTGGTGTTGGCAAAAGTCATTCATCTTTATAATTAAGATCTTAAATCAACCTAACACTCAGATCCAGCTAGAACTTTAGCCAAAGATGGTCAAGGCGTAGACAGCCAGGATGAAATAAGAGAAATAAGGAGAAGGATGAAATAAGAGAAATAAGAAGACAGACACCCAGGGTGATAAGCTGTGGTTGTGGGCAACTTTCCATATTCTCCTTCCAACCCTGGGAGGAGCATTCGATGAGCTCCTGGCTATAAACACGGTTTAAGGAGAGAACTGAAGTTGCATATGGGCCTCTGGGTGCATACAGCTCTGGCAGGCAATCATTTTCCTCACGTGTCAAGAGAGCCCGGAAGGAAAGAATGACAGGGTCCAATTAGTCTTCTCCCAAGTGAAAGAAGCTGAAAGCTTCTAATAAGATTAAAAGCCATGCCCTAGCCCGTGTTGCTCAGTGGATAGTGTCGGCCTGGGGACTGAAGGGTCCTGGGTTTGATTCTGGTCAAGGGCACATGCCTACGATTGCTGGCTTGACCCCCAGGAGGGGGCGTGCAGGAGGCAGCTAATAGATGATTTTCTCATTGATGTTTCTGTCTCTCTCTCTTTTCCTCTCTGAAAGCAATAATAAAAAAAATTGTAAGCCACAAGGCATACAGAAACAGGGATTTGGAGTCCTAATCCCTGGACTAAAGCAGGCGGCAGATTAGTGGGAGACCTGGGCTGCAGGGAGGTGGCCAGAAGAAAGGGGACTTTGAGTTTCTGAGGCAAAAATTTAGGCATAACTAGGGGTACAAAAGACATCAAGAAATGTTTAAAATATTAAAAATATATATATATATTTGTATTGATTTTAGAGAGGAAGGGAGAAGGAGAGAGAAATAGAAACATCAATGATGAGAGACAATCTTTGATTGGCTGCCTCCTGCATGCCCCACACTGGATATCAAGCCCACAACCCAGGCATGTGCCCTGACCAGGAATTGAACTATAACCTCCTGGTCCATAGGTTCATGCTCAACCGCTAAGCCATGCTGGCTGGGCCAACATGTATTTTTTAAAAGACTCCAACTTTGCCCCTGAGCCACCCAATTTCCCTCGCCAGAGGCAACCACTGTCACCAATGTCTCCTCTGGTAGTATTTTTATGTAGATGTGTATAAATCTTCCCTTTTTTGGTAGATACTGTACACTCCTCTGCATTTTGCTTTTCTCAGTTAAATAAGTGCCATATTTTAAGACAAAACCATAGTATAAAATTTATGCAGTGCAAAATGACTCATTGGTAGGCGACAGGGAAGTATAATTTGCTTCAACGATTCCTTACTTACAGAGGAGTCAGGCAGGACTCCCTTGAACAGAGGCCCACATGAATTCATTTCCTCCTGTGTGTGCGACCTCCTGTCTTCCTGCCTTTGTCTCATCAGCATGTAATAAAAAGAGCAGTGGCCAAAACCGGTTTGGCTCAGTGGATAAAGCATCACCCTGCGAACTGAAGGGTCCTGGGTTCGATTCCAGTCGGGGGCATGTGCTTTGGTTGCGGGCACATCCCCAGTAGGGGGTGTGCAAGAGGCAGCTGATTGATGATTCTCTCTCATGGATGCTTCTAACTTTCTATCCCTCTCTCTTCCTCTCTGTAAAAACTCAATAAAATATATTAAAAAAAAAAAAAAAAAAGCAGTGGACTGGAAGCCTCCCTTCCTTGCCATCACTCAGTGGGTTCTGATTATTACCCAAACCTGAGCATTTCTGAGAGTGAAAGGTGCTCTACACATCACACCAGAACCACAGTCACAACCAGGATGGTCTCCGGCAAACCAGGCATCTGGTCTCCCCTCGGAGACTCTCCCTGAGCCTCTTTACCTAAAAATGAGGATGCGAGTGTGGCTCAGTTGATTGGTGGTCCTCCTGTGGACCATGAGGTTGCTGGTTCGATTCCTGGTCAAGGCACATGCCCAGGCTGCCAGCTTGATTCCTGCTAAGGGGGCCTGCAGGAGGCAGCCTATCTCACATTGATGTTTCCTTCTTCTCTCTCTAAAATATCAATACACTTTTTTCTTATAGCAAAAGGTGGAAAGTTATTGAGAAACAAGCACAGACTCCCACGTGGAGAAGGGGATAGAGTCCTCAATAAACTATTCTTTTTAAAAAATATTTTTGCCCTAGCTAATTTGGCTCAGTGGATAGAGCGTTGGCTTACTGACTAAAGGGTCCCAGGTTTGATTCCAGTCAAGGGCACACGCCTGGGTTGTGGGCTTGATCCCCAGTGGGAGGCATGCAGGAGGCAGCCGATCAGTGATTCTCATCATTGATGTTTCCATCTCTCTGAAACCAATAAAAAATATTTTTAAAAATATTTTTTATTGATTTCAGAGAGGAAGGGAGAGGGAGGGAGAGAGAAAGAAACATCAACGATGGAGAGAATCATCGATAGGTTGCTTCCTGCATACCCTACACTGGGGATTGGCCTGCAACCCCGGGCGTGTGCCCTGACCGGGAATTGAACCATGACCTCCTGGTTCATAGGTCAATGCTCAACCACTGAGCCATGCCAGCTGAGCAATAAAGTATTCTTAAAAAAATAAAAATAAAAATAAATAAAAATGGGGATGCGAACATAGCATCCTAAGAAAGAAGGAACTTTCTGAAATAACTCAGGAAAATACATAAACACTTGAGCAAATTATGTAAAAACAGTAATTTAGTTGTGTAAAGAAAGGGAAAATAAAGCAGCTGTTTTTGAACTGGTGATGTCATCCGTGCCTGTGAAAGGGGCCTTAATCCAGTGCCCCAAGGAGATGGGGACGGGGTGGGGGTGGGGGTAGGGGTGCCAGGGAGAGGAACAGTTTGTTTTCAGGGGATGGGCGAACTGTCTCTCACGAGGTTCACCAGAAAACCAAACAGAATTAGTTTAATTAA